ATATATACAACAGCAAATAGTTGTTTTGACATTATAGCAACAAAGCTCAAGTTATTTTTAGCAACTTATTTGCCGTAAGTTCCATTGCCTTCAGAACGTGCTTTATAATATTATAAACAATCCATCGATTTGCGGTCTGGTTATTATTATTATGTCGACAATAACTGATATCGTATACGACATAATTAAAAAATACAAATAATATTATTTTTATTAAAATATTTCACGGTGATGGGCGTGCCCTTGGACCCTAACAATTTTTTTTTATTAATTTTGTACCTAAGAGAGTATATTATGCTTTATGATGAATCATACGATCATGAATTTCACAATGTATGGTGTTGGAAATCTGTCATTGAAATTTTCAAAAATAAATGGGTCGAAAACCGTGTGCGCATAATATTATTATTATTAAATACCCATAATTATTACGCGGCTCTAGACGTATACACTATAATGCTATATGATACAACATATAATACTAATTGAAAATGTACGAACCATCCGTGTCAAAAATATTCACCCCTCGACACGTAACGATCGCCGGCGAGTCCTATGCCGATAGATTAAAAATACCCCTGCAGACAACTCAGCAGTTTTTCGGTCCTCTACAGATTCTTGATTGCGTAGGACGTTCACGATAAAAGTGTGTCGACGGTCTTCTGATATTTTATTATTTATTTACCATTCCACGTATTAAATAGGTACCTACATTGTATCTATTACAGCCGATCGATCGGAAGTGAACAGTTTTGAATTCCAAAATAGTCATTTTATTGGAAATCGTATTTTTTTATAATCCATTCATAATAAATATATAAAAGTGACTGTGTCATTTTTACAGCGTTTTCTTTCTTACTGCGGCCAATTCAATAAACTTTTAACAACAAATTAATTGTATAATAGGTACCTAATATATATACTTAAATTGTATAAGTCAATTTCTTAAGAAAACAGTGTAATCATTCCTCCATTGGTCGTTATTGTATAATACTATTGTAATGAGGCCGCCTTAACGCTTAAGTTTCAATTTTTAATAGGTATACATTAATATTCTGCCACATTTTTCATTCGAGGAGTATTTTGTTTTTATTTAGATATACTTTTCTCGGCGAAATTTGACATCATCATGTTACTATTTATTTTTTTATATAATATTTAAACACTAGCCGAAACATGAAAAATAACTTTAAATCTTATTATTTCCATGACTTATGATGAATTATGATGTTGGTAATACTACTTATAGGTACTGAATAAAACCACTTCAAAAAAGTAATACACCTTTACTAATATTTTATACCATATTAATTATTTGCATTATTATTATCCATTTATATCGATTTTTCGTTTTTAATCCGGTTTAATTCAAATGAGCTGAACCAAGTTGTTTCACTTAGGCAATAATACTTGATTGTACTTGATTAAATATTTTTTTATTTCTTGAACCGTACACATGCATGGATGTGAAGTTTTTGAATAGAGATTTACGGATAACATATAATGCTTCGTATAACTTATATAACGTCTACTTGTGTTAAGTACAAACAGTTTTTTTTATCTCTTTTTAATGAACCGTGTTTAATATCTTTTGACGCATCGTGAAATAAAGTTGATTATGAGTCACGTTGACGACTTGCGAACTATTCAGCTTTTAAACTACGTGATAAAACTTGCATTTTTAAATGAATACCATTCACATAGTGTATACTGTATACTCACTCGTGTGTGTGTGTGTGTGTGCGTGTGTAAGTTATTATATTAAGTACATGTGCATACAGAATGTCGCAAGACGCCGGTCCTTTTTTAAAGTGGAGGGATTATGCAAACTTCATTTTCACATTTCGAAAACCCCATCTCAAACACTATAATATCGGACACTCTGTATACTCACTACTTGTAAGTTGTAATCATAATTATTATTGTCTCAGAGAATAAAGATGTCACGTTCACCGGGGTGCTATAAAAAGATTCGTGATTACCGAGAAAAAAGCTTTTTAATGCTATGTAAAAAAAGGTTGTTTCGAAATTGTTACGCCAGGGAAATATTAAGTGCGTATTATATAAGAATAATATAGTGTTTATACACAACATGATAATTGAAACGACTTAATTCCTTTGCGCGTTAGCCGTATTGTCGCTTAAATAGTATTATAATACGGTAATCAATATAATGTGTACGACTATGATTATTATTATACTATGGTCTATGGTCGCTTAATCGTATAAACATTATTATGCGTTAAACGTTCATGTGACTTATTTCCCACACCAATAATAATCCACCGTCGAAGAGTTATGTATAATATTTGACTTGTTACCGTAAACGATGGATTTAACATATAACATTTTTGACTAGATATAATTGTTATCTATAATTTATGTATACCACATCATAATTTAATATACTATCATATAGTTTCCAAAACAATTGCTTCGGCGATTGTGTTCTCGTGTACTTCTTATACATATTTTCGTCAAGTGATTTAATTTATTGGTCCTGCTAAATTCCTTCCTTTCCAGCTCATATTATTTTTAAATATTTGTTTACTGAATTAATTATTGACACTATACAAAGTTTTTATGAATACATAAATACATGTTGCCACAAAGATTTACCGAAATAATTTGAATTAATGGAATTAATACAATATTTGACGCACCCGTCATTTGTACTTTGATAAATCCATGATATTACTATAGTAAATTACGTTCACGAGTATTTTGTTAACACAATACAACGAATAAAAAAGAAATGGAATTCAGTTAATTTATAAACCTACAAGCTATGTTATGTAAAATTTGTTTTTATCATAGATTAAACTATTTATATATCTTTTCAATGTTCTATAATCCAATAAATTACAACTAAGATGTTTACATATTGTTGTTAGCTTTCAATAATCGCATTAGATATAAGTCTAAAAAAAAGGTAAGAAAAACATCATAATATAATAAAATACTAAAGATGGTAATTTATGAATACCTATACCATAATATACAATATATAATATATACCTACATAGTTGGGAGTAACATGAATATAGGTCATAGGCATTATATTGCATAAAAGATGTATGAAAGATGACTCAGAATAGAACGAAAGTACCTGTATATCGTACTATTATGCTGGGAAATAAAAAAAATATGTTAACATTATATTTTATTTTGTAAAATTGCAATTCTTTTCAAACAACTAAGTAAAAAGCTTCAGTGGTAGAAACTAATAGGTACCTACACTATTTTGGTGGTATATAATTGTTTTTTTTTATTAAAAATATTGTTTGATCCATAAGGATCAAAAAAAAGCCTAACTATGTGAGTGGGTCGAAAAAAACAGCATACAGGGACACCATTATTATTATTTATTATTATAAAATATTTACCTACATCGGAATACATAGTACCACAGAAGGAAAGAAACAGATTAAATAGTGCATGAAAAACACCCAAGTCCTGTAGTACCACAAGAGGAAAATGAAAAACCTGTTTTATAGCACGCGATTTTCTAAGTCGTTAGTCTAAGAGAGTATAAGACATTTATCGCTATGTCAATATTATAATAATGTGTAACAGAGAGAAAGAGTTCTCAGCGGAGAGAGTAAACTAACATAATGAATTAATTTTCAAAAGATGTTAAAATGTTCTTAAAGTTAAGTTTGTAAGTCACAGTTTGTTTTTTAATTCGCGATTTTTATACCTACTTGCTTCTTCTCGGGTAAATCTATATTATTGAAACACAGTGCTATAGTCGTAGATGTAATAGGTGAGAGAGTGTTACAAAGCTTCTGCAGATTGCATGCAATAGGGCGTATCGATTTACTCCCGTTCAACCACCAACAATAATAACTGTACATTTACGAAAACAAACTGCCACGGTTTTTAATGGATTTTGTTCAATTATTTTTATCGTTTTCAAAAAATATAATATACATTTTAAGTAGGTTTAAAATCGATTTAATTCGTCGTCTATGGTGTCTGATAATATGAAAACAATTATTAATATTATATTATTATGATTGTATTCACACTTAATACGGTAGTACTTACATATTGCAAAGCGTGCGCGGTTTATTTGTATTAAAGTAATACACTTTATAGTAATCGTTGCGAGTATATATATGTTTCTAAAACTATTTTCAAGAATTTGCCGATGTTGTCGATGACCCGAATAGTCGGACTACGATAGTTTTGTTTGAACATTTTTAGCATGTTATAGGGTGTGAACGAAAATCATCGCGAGACAAAATCCATATTGTTATGAGGAGATTTATTCGAAATATATAATATTGTAACAAAATATATACACGGTAATATTTAAGTATACTTTTTTCGTATGATTATTACAGCTATAGGTACCTATACCGTTTTGAAAATCGCTGTGTATAATAATAATATGAATATTTATATTTGCTGGTGACGTTATTGTATGTTTGAATATCTTTAAACACCTAAGATGACATTGTATTTATAATAAACGTATTTATAAAATAATATTACAGTGGAACGTTAACAACTTGAACATCTATGTCGAGTTTTCGATATAATTTGAATTTTTTTTGTCCCTGACCGATTCGAGTTATTGTGGAGGTTCCACAGTGTGCAGGTACATCATATACATTGATACTTTATAACATTACGCGACTTGTATTGGAAACGGTTATGTTCAATAACCTATACTCTGTATCAAAAGAAATTAATCACCACATGTTATCAGTGTTGAGCATTTTTCGTCAACGACTGGGTATTAGAGTGATCCTAGCAGCAGGTCTTGACTCGCCAATCACATCATTTATCATGCGAAAAAATTGATTGTTCTCTTTTGAGACAGATAACCTATACGTATTTGCTTATCATATTTATTATTATTATTGTTAGTGCCACAATCTCTCCCTCACATTGTATAATATGTTATGAATGTTATGATATACGAAATATTATGTACAGTAAAATTAATCCACAGAAATTAATATTGGATGTCTTGTTTTCCGTTTGTATAGGTTGGCGGCGGAGAAGGAAGTAGCTGCGGCCGCGGGACGTGACTGCATCGGGTCGGCGGGAACATCCGCCGGCATGGGGAGGCCGCGGTCCCACCACCATCACCACCATCACCACCACCAGCAGGCGGACGCGCCCCCCGGGCCGTCGTCCCTGTTCCTGTTCAGCACCGACAACCCCGTCCGCCGGTACACCAGGTTCATCATCGAATGGCCATATCCTTTTGAAACGCCAAATTCGTCGTAGTATCACTAAAATAGTAAAATATGTCTGAATACCACACGCGTGGCCCATACCCTCATTCGACCGATACTGTAAGACTGCAGCAAGACGTGCAGATCATGAACTCTCCGCTGAGGGAAGTGTTCATAACCAATAGTATACCTATATAGTATACCACCAACGGTCAAGGGGGGGAGGGCTTGAAGGTATAATAATTACATTTTATTTTTAAAAAAATTTACCATTCGAGAATCGCCGCTTACTAGAAAGGCTTTTAGCTGGTGCGGCGAAGGCTTGCACTAGGGATTGGAAAACGAACTTGAATATTAGGTGACCAATGACCATACTCGCAGTTATTATCGGTCTGGTTGGATGCATTATTATAATATTCTTGAAATTTAGAAATAAATCCGTCAGTCCTCGGTTGCTTTTTTCTCTGTGTGTTATTATATTTTTAAATAAATCACCCGTGGCTCGTTGAAAGAAGTTTGGCAGACGGGTTTAGAGATTTTATTGGTATAAATTAAATCCAATTTATAGGAGTTTTCTAAACAGATAGGGTGCTATAATACTAACAATATAATTATGGAGTAGACAGGTCGATACCGCTTTTCTTCCGATAAGTACTTACAGTGTATTTATAATTTATATGTACTGTTTATGATTTCACTTTGTACAACTACAATAATTTATTGTATGAACTTATTACCAACCGCTAAGGTACGGCTATTATAGTTTATTTTAACAATTGAATTTTTTCCAATTGAATTTTTTTTCTCATGGTCGTCTGTTCTACACCAAATTGTGTGTATACTAGAAGCAGATAAATTGGAAGTGGAAAACCCTGGGCGTGCGGTTTTTGTGTAGAGCCTATGCTTCCCAAGTCTAATGCCGTTGTTTTCTCTACTCAAGCGCACGCCAGTTTCGCGAGAGACCGGGACACTGTTTGGATTTTAACGGAAATAATTTTATGATCTCCTCTCTCTCTCACTCTTTCTCCGTCCTTCCCACCCTGTAAAAGGTTTATGAGTCCCAAAACACGCACCGAATCATGTTCAAGGTCAATAACTTGACGTCGACGTATAATAAAATACATATTATATTATGTACCAATAGTATCCTCCTAGTGTTATACTTTCAATTTCGATTGTCGTTATGTGTAGACTGTAGGTATACAATTTCGTTTAAACACTTTATTATGACCGAATGTTTTGATTTTATGACCGCTCCCACTATGTCCTTGCCGCCTTTTATGTTATCCTTATTGCCATAAATCAAATTTGGTGGGGGAGGGAGGAGAAATATATTAAATTTTCAGTGTTACTTTAATTTTTTTCTTCCAGCAATTTACTTGTGCACGACATTATAATATTATTATTGTATTTTTTCTTAATTCAATTATTTTGCACTCCGTTCGAATATGCGGTGCTGTTAACCATCATAGCCAACTGCGTGGTGTTGGCTCTAGAGGAACATCTGCCCAGGGGAGACAAGACTGTACTTGCTAAGACTTTGGTAAATCACTCGAGTGTCATTGCACATGTTTTACACCTTTTAATACGAATTTTGGTATTTGGTTTGGTATTTTCTGTTTTACTAAAACGTTTTGTTCGGTGTAATAATTTCAGGAGGCAACCGAACTCGTTTTCCTAGCAATTTTTTGCGTCGAAGCGACTCTCAAAATATTAGCTTTAGGTTTTTTACTGCACAGCGGCTCATATCTTCGTAATATATGGAACATTATGGACTTTTTTGTAGTTGTAACAGGGTGAGTACACTGTTTTATTATGATAATACTTTAAATTTTTTTTTTATAATGAAAAAAATACTTAAAAAATAGACACGAAATCTAAGAAAAAAAAATTAGAACAAAACGTATATGTTAAGCAAAACTATTTTAAATCGGCTAGGGATACATTGGACTCAGGGGTTTACCGATTTCTAGGTCAATGACTGAATTCATGGAGTCCAACATGCTGGACATGAGGATGTTGAGGTCCTTTCGGGTGCTCAGGCCTTTGAAACTGGTTTCGAGAATCCCAAGTAAGGCACTCGAAATGTCTCAGGATCACAGGAAAGCATTTTTGACACAATAAAAATCCTCGAATGTTCTATTATTTTTCAGTAAAACCATTTGTTTAACCCGTTTTTGTAGGCGTATTGCATTTGGTATAGACATATTCCGAATATCGGATTAGACCGTAACCGTTGGTTTGCGAACTTTTATACATATATATATACATATATTATATATATTTACATATATACATAATATATATTATTCTTTTGGACTTTTGCTGGATGATAGAAATTCCCGTGTAGAACTACCGTTGATACAGTTGATCGATTTGTAGTTGGATTATATATTATTATTCGGCTTGATTCGAACAGATTTATAACAGTATTCATACATCATTTAGATCCGATTAGGCGTATTAGAAAACTAGATAGAATTATAATAACAAAACGGGTCTATATTATTTATATATATATATATATTTTGTATAAAGCTGTTGATCGATTATATATATTTTGTTTTTTTTTTATGAATAATACATATTGATATTATACGATATTATACCTCGAAATATAAAATAATTTTCTATTAGAAATCTGCACGTCATCGTTGACTTGAGCGAGTCAACTGTAGATAATATTATATATTATATTATAATAAATATTAATATCGTAGATTATATTTTTTGAATCGTATATACCTATTTAATTTTTTATGTTTTAATATTATATGTTGTATTTTCAATATACTGCTATCAGAGCATAATATTAATACATATAATATATTATACATTAGGAATATAGTGGACTATAATGTTGGCGAACGTAGAAAATTATTGGTCTGTTTATAGTGGCAGTTTACTTTGTAAATCGGTCAAAATCAGGAAACGCCGCGATTCTACATTTTCTTTAAACAATTGGAAACGGGAACGCAATATGTCATTACCATATTATTACATATACGTTATTACATTATACACGCGTGTCATTAAAAAAAACCGTTGTCATCACAACCTTGGCCTTTCCCCAGTACTTTTTTTTTCGACAATATTCCCGGCAGCAAACTTAAAATGGTTATCACACGAAATAATAAAATAATTAATGCGTAATACATAAATATTATATATATATATATACCGACATTATTTTTGCTATATTTGAACGTATCTTAAATAATCTTGTATTTCGATCCGTAGATTCCGGTTTGTTTTATTTATTATTATTATTGTTATTATTATTATATTACTACCTATATATATATTATTACATATTATATATATATATATATATATTTTATATATATATTATATACTATCATATATTATTATTATTACAATTTTTTTATTATTATTATTATTATTATTATTATTATTTTGTATTCGGGACCATCGCGCACGACCATATCGAACAGATATATTATATATTATTATTATTATTATTGTTATTATTATTATTATTATTATATAGACACGACCAGATACATTATTTATTAACTATATACATATAGACGCATAGAACTAGATGAATAGAACGGATTGCGTGTTTATTTTGGGGTAGGTAGCGCACTGAGTAGTGATTAGAAGTGTTGTTGCCACAGATGTATAACACAAATACCGTCAGCGGCAAACATGGATCTGCGGACGCTGCGAGCGATCCGGGTATTGAGGCCGCTCAAATTGGTCTCCGGAATTCCAAGTGAGTACACCGCAAATACACGCACACGACGGAAACGACTAATATATATATAGAGCGGGGTTTGCCCGTAACCTCGCAGACCCCATTTTCCCTAACACCCCCCCACCAAGGAGTCAGATGATGAAGGTCAACAGAGAAAATAACGATTAAAAAAAAAAACAAAAAAAAACTGAAATATAAAAATTTGCCCGTGGAACGGTAACGTCCAATAATTATGGTCGCGTCGATGCATCGTATGTACTTATATATTATTATATTACTATATTTTATACACTCCTATACACCTATAATATTATTGTACAGCGTGTGGTGGTGGTTTTTACTGACTTTTGATGTACATACTTATTTTCTTAAAATGTATTAATGTATTACGCTTTCCGTCCTATTATTACAGCTTTTACATTTTTTATACTACATAGCAGGGATGGCCAGTGATAAGAGAGTCGTGATTCGCACAATTATGTAATGAAAAATAATGTGAAGAGCAGGAAAAACAAAGATCAGAAGTATTATTTGTACGGGATGAGGAGATGAGGCTCGAGCCACGGTTTGGCCACCCCTCCTATATAGTTTATAGACAGCAGTTCGAAGAGTCTCAATAACTCAAAACACAAAAACCCGAAAACCCCGATAACTCGAAGTATTTTCTTGCCTCCTTGAAGAGTTTTGAAGTTGTGTTCGAGCCTTCGAGATACATATTATTTTGAATATAACTGGAAAAATACGTGTGTCAAATTTTTTTTTATTCCCCGGAGGTTTGAGTTTTTGTGAGTCGACTGTATACAGTGTCTTAGGTATGATAATTACAAAACGAAAGATCACTGCGATTGCTCGTGACAATAATACCTATAGCTATAATAGTAAAAGCGTTATTATTTATTATTATAATAATAATATAATCTTATATAAATTATTATGAATTTAACAACCTTGCGTCGGAAAAAATCACTCTGTATCCAACGTCGTACAATGTATTGCATATACGCTGTGCTGTAGCTTACATATTATTATATTACTATATAAGTACTCAAGAGTAATTGCCGTCGACCAATTATTATTGGATGAAATTTATTATACTATCGTACTACATATGGTTTGCTATAGATGCAACCGATAACCGTCTTGCTGGCAAGACCTAACCCGCGTGTGTGTTTTTTTTTCTCCCCGTTTAGGTCTGCAAGTCGTGCTGAAGTCCATCATCAAGGCGATGGCTCCGCTACTCCAGATTGGTTTATTGGTGTTATTTGCTATCATCATATTCGCAATCATCGGACTGGAGTTTTACTCCGGAGCGTTGCACAAGACTTGCTACAAGTGCGTTATCGTATACGTGATAAGTATACGTCATGTAACATAAACCGGGGCTCGGAAAATTAAAGAGTGGTACGTTTTCTCTGTAGTGACGGACAGTGGAATAGCTCGGGTTCGTGAAGCTGCAGGGAAAAACCTACCCCTTTGTGTTTCTGTATTTATTCATTTTTTTATCTCCATTTAAAGTTAGGCAATTAGGTATCCCTACCTATATAGGCTGTATTTGTTTTTGTTATTCGTGTTCTTCCAAAACTGTGGTCTGCTAATAACTGCTTACTTTACCCTTTAATCGAGAGCTTTTAATTTCGAGTACATCTTTTTATCTCTTTGACGCGGAAACACAGATTACTTACAACAGCAACAGGCAGCAGCTCTAAGAAGCTATTATATTTTCGAAAATGTCAACGTACAAATCAATTATAATCGTAAGTAAGATTTTTAAAATTATCCATATTCAATATTCATATATTAACATCAGCCTGGGCGACAACTCTATCATCTAATTATCACATTTTTTAATTCTTCACAAATTCGAATAGTTGATTTTGGTTCGCGTTAATCTTCTTAATTGGTTATACTCTTATTGAATAATGTTGAGCAGTTATCATTTCCTGTTAATACAGAAATAGTTAAATTTTCCGAGTCACGGTTTTAAAAATGATTTTTTATGAACAATCATTACACGCACAATACATATATATACGAATAGAGTGAAGTAGGTATTGAAATAATTGTATTATATTAAATACCAACGACACATATACGATACAGTTTTGACAAACAATTACAGTTGCACTTGATTAACTCGAACTCGAAATTGTCTATGTCTTGAACTTTTTCCAGCCCTTAGAATTTCCTACAATTGCATTATCCTTTTATTTTATGCCGGTCCCTTCAATTTCGTGTTAACCAAGCCTACACACGCATTTTTATTCGAACATTTATAGACTAACAAAGATTGTACATATAGTCTTTAATTGATGTAGTGTAAAAACAAATTATTTTGAATGAAACAATGTTATAAAACTGTATCTTATGTACATTGTCCACAGAAATCTTTTCATTTCTGAAAAGAACTGTATACGACATTTAATAGTTGAAGACCTGAGAGCAACAAACAGTATATCTCCAATTAATACAATTTTTTGGGAGGAACTTAAAAATTAAATAATAGTTGTAAAAATTAACAAAAACTGTATTTAAATAAAACATAAATTTATATAAACATTGATAATATTGTTAAGAGGATGGGCCGCAGACAGTTAATTCAGCCGAAAATACCAATCTTTTGTTAATTATACTGATTAACCTAGTAATATGATAATGCTTTTGAAAACTGATTTGAATTCGTTATTATGTCTACTTGAGATCGGTAAGTCCACATTTTAAGATTTTTGAATTAAATTCCAAATAATCAACTCTAAAATTTCAAAATATTCAAACTTAATGTATATATGAGGGGGGGTTGACATTGGGATAAGTTGACTGACTGATCTCAAGTAGATAAGTAGTAATAAAGAATTAAAATCAGTTTTCAAAGGTATTATCGCATTTCTAGGCCGATCAGTATGATGGATAAACAATTGGTATGTTTTGGCTAAAAAAACTATCCACCACTGATCCTCTTAAAATGAAATTTTATGTGATTTAAAAAATAAAATATAAAACTTTGAGACGTCTTGTTGTTGCATTAAAATAAAAACCAGAGACCTCCATTTATATGATATCTTCGTATTCAGCAATCAGAGATGTCTAGTTGTTACACCTAACGACTCAGTTTTTTGTCTTTATAATGTGCAATCAAAAACTAATTTTGACCAAAATATGGAAATGTCTTGTTGTTGATCTCAGGTCTTCAATCAATACAATATTTCGAGATTTTTTCATTATGCCTATTATGCATAATGAAACTAACATATAAAGTTCAATAGTTTACTAAAAATAAATAAATTTTAAAACAAATTCTGTATAAATTCATATATGTACAACACTCAGAATTATGTTTAATGTGTTTAAAAAAACACATTCTGTTTAATGAATTTAAGATATAATATCGTTCCTATTATTTTGAATAATTTAAAATTTAAATAGGTTAATACGAGCTGGTTAGAATACAAGTAGTGAAACGCGTAAATCAGCAGTATTTTGTCCTTCTAAGTAGATATAGGTACCTAACGTTGATGATTAATGTGTGCATATGTGCATCATTAATACACGTGCACCTACAATATCGTAATCTACTTTATTGAGCCAACAATAAAGGCAAATGCAAACACCTAAACATTCAATATCACCCTCTTGTGTGTTGTACCTATTTTGACTTTCACCACTATCCTAAAACCACATTTTTTATTTCGTATTGTCATGACTTAGATACAATTAATTTTATGTAATTAGACTGACTATTTTAGCCAGACAAATATTATGATGTTACAGATGTTACAGTACACAATGTGTACTACACATGCAATTTTTTTTCTATCACACTAGAGTGTTACTCAGTCTAAGTTAAATGTGGTAAAGTTTTAAACTTTTTTATTTCTTAAACATTTTTGAAATTATTTGTAACACAAACTTATACCACTCTCGTCTTTATCCAACCGCTCTTTAGGTTGAGTACCTACTGAAACTAAAACTAACGTGGGACGCTGTTATTTGACTTACTTCATTATCAAATTGATTTTTCTAAATACAAACATTTTCGCCGTTTTCCGAAATATATGGCTTTAACCACTTTCATTCTAACCGGCATCATTAATTCTATTACCTTTCCTAGCATCAACAAATTCATTCAAATAAATCCCAATTATGTTAATAAAAGAGTTCACTATTTGTTGTTGGTGTAAAATACTTAGTGATGGTTCATAGAAATTTGTTTAAAGGAGAGATAAGTTTCTTAATTTTTAATATTTAAAATATATTTTCTAACGTAGCTTAAGAGGACATCTTACCCGCATTATATTATGTTGTCTCCGTCTTATACACGTAGGTACATGGTACATGACAAATTTTCGTTCAATAATATGCTCTTATTTTTGATATCATAGGTAGAGTGAATTGACCTAATATCAAAACTAACAGCATAGGTACTTTTGATACTGGTGAACGAAAATTTGCCTTGTATCTACGTGTGCAAGACGGAGAAACATAATATAATGCGGGTACGGCATACTCTTAATGGGATTTATTATAATTATGACCTTTTTTTTTATATATAGCCATTTTTAATTTGTTGAGGGTATAGTAATTTTTAGTTAAATTTTAAAAAAATTCCAAAAAGCTAGTGAGGCAAATTCCCCATATTCCTCTCATCCAGAAGTCAATGATGTGGACGATGTGGTGCTATCTAAAGTTAACCGAATGTATACTATTGAACTTTTTATGTTAGTTGTTAGGAATTCTACTTTTACGATTACACTTATTTAATCACGTTGGTTTCCATCACCAGATGGTCTCCATCCTCATATTATTCATGTAAAAATAAAATGATTTACAGTAGAAACCGTTTATAATGATACTCAAGGACACTAAATCGTGTCTTCAATACATTTAGAACAAAATAAAATAAAATAAATTTGTTTTTTATTTTAAAATTATATTTACGTTGTATTAAAAAAATATGTTATCCTGTTTGTTTTGTACATTGTTTGTATAAAAATCTTGCAATATATTTTTTTAATTTCTTTAAAATATGTTTTTAGTATTTAGTTATTTTGTTTGTTGTATTACCTTCGATAAAAATTTAATACAGAAATTGTTGATAAAGGATTTTTATAATATAACCAAAATAACTATCGTATCATCCGTATATAGTCATTTTACAGACGTCATAATATAACAGATACAAATTAGTACTCAATATAGGAGCTTGGCCGAGATCTTCAATCTAATATCATTACACCCGATATTTCACTATAACTGGAATTATTATAAACGGTTTCTATGTATATCTTTCATCATATTTTCTTATTATGCATATTGCATAGACTATTAATTTTCTTTAAATAAAAAAAAACACTCTGTCCATATATATATATAGGATCTCATGATAGTAAATAACTACTTTTTTATTTCTTATTGATTAGTCATTGCTATTTGCTTATCATGTGGATGATCACATTAATTTATTTTATTTTATTTGTCTGTGTATTTTCAAACATTCTTTGGTCGTTATTTTAAAGTTTAATTGTATAATTAAACTTTATAGGTCAGTGTTCATTTTAGATTTATGATGTTATCATAATTTACTTAAGAAAATGTTTGAATTATTAATTTATAACTAAAACAAATATATGTAAAAACAAATAAATGTGTGACGGATAATATTGTATAATGGCAGTGCAAAATAAACGAAACCTCATAGGATTAACTTTAAAACAGGTATAACTATAATAAATATAGTTGTGCTATCCGATATTTTATTTTATTTTTTTTATTATCCTTGAAGAATAAAATAAAAGTTAGGTGTTGTTAGTTGCTGTAGGTACTATTTGTATACGTTTAATACGGTATGATATAATAATATTATATTATACAGAATGTGAAGGATCAAGTCACAACATTTATTCTATCTCTGTATTGATTCTAAGTATAGTGATGTGGTGTATGTACACTAGTTATAATATTACAAAATCAATTTGTAAAGCGTGTTTAAAAAATGAATCAATATTTTGATGATATTATCTGTTATGCTAGATTAATGTTATAATTTTTAAGATACTCATTCTTTCAGATGAACTTTTCTTCTTGCTTCATACGGTATACCGTATAAGTGCGCATAAACTTCGTGTTCCGATGTTCGTTTATTTGAATAAATAATTGACCATCAACTTAATATAAGAGAGTTTAAGAGGACGTCTCACCCACATGTGTTGACTCCATGTTACAAACGTAATGGTACAATATCATAACAGAATTGAGTTGAGCAGAACCAATTTTGTGTTGTGATCAAGCTTAAAATTATAAGAACACTATAGCTGTGTCCTCTCGTCGGTTTCTTACGATATTTTAATTTTTGAGCTAGTTATAATGTATTTTTACGTTTTAATAATTTACATTCTCATAACTCACTTGGAAATTAAAATATCGTAAGCAACCAACATTGCAGAAAATACTGCAAATGATGTTCTTACATTTAAGTTTGATCACAGCTCACGAGTAAACGTAGTTACTATAATATTAAAAAGCTAACGAATCAATTTGGGTTCTACTAAACCCTAATTCTCCATGTTGCACATTTGTAAGACGGATTCAACACAATAATATATACGGATGTGGCTCGGAATTATATTTAAACTACTAGTTAGATAAATTTAACAACCTACCCTCCCAAGAATAACCAGCTAATTTTGTATTATGCCTCTTCTTATACCCCCCATAAAACCCATTCAGTTGAACCAGTTAAAAATACACCAAGAATCCACTGGACTAAACCGGTGTAAAAAAACTCACTGGGATGTTCACAGTGTTTGTACCATATAATTTACATGGTTCAATATCCCGGTGAGGGATTAATTGGGTTAATTTTAAACCGGTCTATTAAATGGTCAATGGTCACAACTGTTTTATCGTTATCAATAATTATTTAAGCATTAAATAACGTCATGAACGAACCTACAGCTATGGATCAATACCAGTGACATAATATTATTATATAACACCGTTATTATTGATCATAATATTACTGATCGTGTGTGTGTGTACTGTGTGTGTTTATGTATAATACATGTTTAATACCTACTAAAGTTTAGTATAAAATATTATTATATAATTACTATGTGTTCTTGTTCGTATACTGAGTGATGTGCGAGTATCATATTGTTATTATTACCACGTTATAATTTAACCACAAGTTCGTTAACGGGACACCACCATACTACTATTATTATAGGTATAAGTACCAAATATTGTTTTGTCATATTATATTATGTTCTCGGAGTGATAAAAACGTTTATATGGTAAAAAATATAGCAATAATAAGTAATAACTTATGTTGGTGCCTTGTCTACGAAGTAGGTACTTTAGAGGTACATAGTATGAAGTTGTACATGGGCTTAGGGATGGCAACGATAATAAACATCGATACATTGATATTTTGTTGCCAATACTTGCGCTTCGATAATATCGACACATCGGTAGGTTAATAATATCGAAATATCGATGATTATTAAAAAAAATTAAAAATTGACTTTTGTATTGTAATATTGGCATATTGATTTTTAATTTACCCATTTGTATTTTGTAATAAAACAACTTTTCTTTCAGTGATTTTCATGATTGTTTAATATTTATCTGTGATTATGACATCTACGATCACAAGAGACTTGGAGGGGGGCAAACTTGAGCAACCAGTCTGAAACAATCACATTTGTTAGGTTTAGATCAGGTAAATAGGTTATATTCATATTAGCTCTCTCGTAGTAGGGCAAATTGTAATCTCCCGTCTTGAATTTAATTTCCACTCCATAAGTGAACTCAGTAGAATTTAAAATCAAACAATTAAGGCGAATCACATACCAACGTAGTAGACTATGTCCTCAATTTGGTATCAATGTTGTAGCCATTATAGTCCCAATGTATATACATATAGATGCTAGATCTACAACACTTTTCAGTATATACGCAAGAGCCCAAATCAGAAGACTGTTTGCCTTAGTAAGGTTATGCTGTTACACATATACTACAGTTATACTATACAGTTACACATAACTGTCACATGGTAGTGGACTTCTATCAATGCTACAAGAGCGACAACAATTCGACATATAAATTGATTGAAAAAAAATTGACAAAATATCGATATATCGATATTTTTCGTAACAATATTACATCGTTACATCGATATTTATGTTTTCGATAATATATGGAAAGTCAATTTATACCTCCCTAGACAAATGTTGCCATCCCTACTGAGCCGTTTTCGCAGCACAGTCGTATAATGTTTTTGAGTTGGTGCGTTAGGTTGGATAATCTGATTGCGATGGAAATCGAGGGAGCGAACCCGGCGCCTTGTAACTCGGACTCGGACTCAGACGAGGGAACGAAGCCGTACAACGCGTACTTCTGTGATAACACGACGTCCACGTGCATAGAAAACTGGGTAGGTCCCAACTACGGGATCACGTCGTTCGATAACATCGGACTGGCTATGCTCACCGTTTTCCAATGCATCACTATGGAAGGGTGGACTACCATCTTGTACTGGGTTAGTCGAGCATCATATTAATGTAAAAAACCAAAATAATAAATAAATAGATAACGTAAACGATAGTATAGTACGTACATTATTTAGAATATAGATAATAAAAACATGAACTTCAGATTAAAATGTGTGTCTATTACATTTTGTGGACTATACGTACTTTTTATATGCCGATATTAATGATTGTTGTTTCAGATGAACGATGCGTACGGCGTGCTATTCAATTGGATATATTTTGTACCACTTATTATTCTAGGTTCATTTTTTATGCTCAATTTAGTTCTCGGTGTGCTTAGCGGGTGAGTCTCATTTTCATATTTTTATTATTATACTATATTGTAACTAAACTGCTGAAACATATAATACATGTTACGGGAAAAATAAACAAACCGACAGACAAATATTATATTATTAAAAATACAAACAAATACCCGGCACCTATAATAATGTTCGATGAGGTTTTCATACGCTTTTGTACGCTTTTGCAGAGAGTTCTCGAACGAGAGAACCCGCGTAGAACGGCAGGCTAAATATTACAAGATGCGCACGAAAAAAAAATACATCGATATGTTTAATTCTTACATTAACTGGATTACGGCCGCAGGTATTTTATTAATACCGTGTTCTAAACTCGAGTAATTATTTTGAAAAGAGTAAACGATACCTTAATAATATGTATTAACGTATTTGACCGACCTAACCTACCTCGGCCTTCATACATTTTATGTTCCAAGTAAATATCATAATATTGTTGCGTACCTATACATTGAGTACACGTACATTTTTATACAAAAACAACCACTTCCCATCACAATTATTACCTGCTGCAATAAAAACTTCCATGATTCCGCACAAAGTAATATTGAAATACAAAATATCTGTGCAAGAATGATATAATATCCGTATGAGAAATAACATGATATCTCGTATGTAATATAGCGTCCTGCAAAGAACCTGCGTACGTTTGATTTTGGTTTAATATATATTTTGTTCAAAAACGCAATCATTTACCTAATACAACATAACAGTAGACTGCAGTATTATGTAGTAGTCCGTGTAATACCGTTCCTTGTGTCCTGGCTTTGTAGAGAATTCGCTAAAGAAAGAGAAAAAGTCGAAAACCGGCAAACGTTCTTGAAGCTACGGCGACAGCAACAGCTGGAACGCGAGCTCAATGGTTATGTAGACTGGATATGCAAAGCCGGTAAGTGTCGGCTTGAGTTCAAAAATGTTTTCACCCCCGTAGACGTCGTTATGCGTACAGTATTTAAACGTTGCCTGACGCTATAACGTCTCAAGTGAATCGACTAACGCGTCCGTTTTTTTTTCTTTTTTCGGTTTTTTCGATGCTGTAGAAGAGGTCATCCTGGCCGAAGAACGGACCACCGATGAGGAGAGAAGACACATTATCGAAGGTAAAGATGAAACCGAACGATATCGACGTTATTTATTTTTTGTTCCAACGTTATATTCCGTTTCTCTCTTTATTATAATGTAGTACTTACCTATTGTACTATACCTATATGTTATACGTATAATATTACAATGTGTCGATTTTACGATTTCTCGCAGCGAGAAGAAGAGCAGACATAAAAAGGAAAAAACTGAAAACCTTGGGCAAAAGCAAAAGCACCGAATCCGAGGAAGAGTGCGAGGAAGAAGAAGCCGATGAAGGTAAACACGATATATAGTTGTCTGTGCTGCGTGGCAATCGCATATGACGTGGATTCCGGGGGGTGATAAACGCCCCGTGTTTCTATAGTGATATGCCGTTAGTGGCTAAACGTTTCCCTTCGTCTACCTTACCTATATGATAATGTTACATCACAGTGTATATACCTAAAACCTATTAAAACTTTATCAAAATATTCAATGTTATGTTTCAGTGCTTGGTAAAGGCAAAAAAGGTACGGTTTATATTGTTTCACGTATAAGAGGGGCGTACATCAAGCGTGAGTTTTGCCTAGAACGTTTTGATTGAGATGAGGGTGTTAATTAGAAACGCCCGGGATTTTATACACTGCGAAAGAAACTAAACTTTTGCATGTCGGAGGCGTGTGTGTTTGTGTGCGTGTGGTGTATGCGTGTGTGCGTACAAGAGTGGACAGTTGATAATAATATTTAGATATATAATATATATATTATATATAGTAGTCATAGACAATATTATTATAATTAAATCAAACAACTTGTGTACATAATACGAATTTTGTAGACGAAAAATACACTTTGTTTCGGACATAAATGTATATTATTATATTATAACAGTTATTATTATACGGTGTTGCTGATTTCACAGTGGCGGTTATATGGACGATTGCTTTTAATAGCGTTCGAGCTCGATGGCCAACGATTTCACATTATTTATACCGATAATACTATACCTTGGTATATGAAACGCGTGTATGATTACGAGCATATTATTATTTTGTGTAAATTATTGTTGTGTAATTGTGTGTTGTAATGTCATCATGATCAAAATTACTGTTTTCTTATTTTATTTATATTATTACCTACCTAGCTCTTATCACCTATCTACGTTTTTTATCGTCCCGTAACAATAATAATACATTTGTTAATATTTATGAGTACCTATCTGTGTAATATGAATTACTTACACGGCGTAATGCTTTCACACATATAACCGCTACCGGTTGGCCATTGGTGTTTTATTATAACGAGTTTATCGGTAGACAGAATAGTATATTATACATAGCTCAGCTAGTAGTGTTTTACCAAAATTATTAAAAAACAATCTTATTACAATCCACAGGTTTCCCTCGCACGCCGACGTTCAAAGACCGAATGCGAAAAAAAGGCGTTTGCGCTTCCATGTGGAGAGCTGAAAAACGGTTTAGGTTTTGGATCAGACGCATGGTAAAAGCGCAATGGTTCTATTGGTTCGTCATCGTATTAGTGTTTTTTAATACAGTGTTCGTCGCCATCGAACATCACAAACAACCAGAATACATAACGAATTTTGTCTGTAAGACTTTGCATTGATTTAACATTTTATTTTTTTTGCGTTCTCATAATTCTTTAAACAACCGCGTATTAAGACAAAAAATGTTCTTTCTGGTTTGTATGGTATGTTAATAATTAATTTGAACGGTTTTGAAAATGACAGTTTATTCTGAGTACGTGTTCCTCATGCTCTTCATGGCCGAAATGTTCATCAAGATGTACGCGCTTGGCATACGGATATACTTTGATTCCGCGTTCAACCGTTTCGATTGCGTCGTAATCATGGGTTCCATATTCGAAGTCGTTTGGTCAGCCGTCAAAGGTGGTTCCTTCGGTCTCTCCGTGCTGAGAGCACTTCGATTGTTACGAATATTCAAAGTGACAAAGTAAATTCTTCGCTTATACTTAATTTAAAGCCTGGGAATAAACTAGTTAAAAACTTAAAGTTCAGTTAAAAGTTAAATTGATTTTAACTTTTTAACTTAACTTTTTAAAATTTAATTTTCATTAACCTAATTTTTATTGATATAAATTTAATCGATAACGAGTGACTTTTAACCAAATCCAAGTTACGTAAAGTTATCAATTAATAATACAATTAAAATCGATAATGTATATTGTATTAACATTTACATTTCATTATTTTACCATACAACTGGCTAATTTTATACTAAAAAAAATAATAACTTAACTGAAGTTAATAAGTTAATTGTAAGTTTCCATTAAACTAAGATAACTATTTATTTTAAGCTTTTTAAAATGTTTTCCATCAACTTACTTTAACCAAATAAAGATTATTATTAACTTTCCCAGGCTTGCTTAGTTATTTTATTACCCGACGTAGTAGTCTATACAATACTCTTAGAATCGTGAAGTATACACCACATCCACGTAATTCCTTCTCGTATCGTCTCAGGTATTGGTCTTCGTTGAGGAACCTCGTGATATCGTTACTCAACTCCATGAGATCAATTATATCGTTGCTTTTCCTACTGTTCTTGTTCATACTGATATTCGCACTGCTCGGTATGCAGTTGTTCGGTGGACAGTTCAATTTCGAGGAAGGAACGCCCCCAACAAACTTCAACACGTTCCCAATAGCTCTGCTAACCGTGTTTCAGGTTAGTCACTTGTTTATAAGCTACATTATTTCGTTGTCATTATTATTATTAATAATATTATTAATTTCACTCTAAGATTCTTACCGGCGAAGATTGGAACGAAGTCATGTACCAAGGCATTAGAAGTCAAGCACAGACTCAAGGCGGAGGGATGATATACGCTTTATACTTCATTATCTTAGTACTGTTTGGTAACTATACACTGCTGAACGTGTTTTTGGCCATTGCCGTCGACAATTTAGCGAACGCGCAAGAATTAACAGCTGCCGAAGAAGAACAAGAAGAAGAGGACAAAGAGGTAAGTACGAGCGGTGGGTAAATATTATATTATAAGGCCTTTCGTTCATCCTGGTACTTACATTCAATAGAAACAACAACAAGAACTCGAGAAAGAAATGGAAGCATTACAAATGAGTACTGACCCGTCCAAGATGGAAATGATACCAACATCGCCATCGCAAAATTCCAGGTAAAATATTTGATAATCATGTTCATGAGTGTTTTTGACATTAATTTATGAAATAATTCGAAGTGTTTCACTTATCAGACATCACCGAAAACATCATTCGGATGAGCCCGACAGTAAAGTAGAGGAAGAGGAAGAAGACGAAGGGCCGAAACCCATGTTACCGTACTCGTCTATGTTTTTGTTGTCACCTACCAACGGGTAATTTTTTATAGGCTATAGTAAAGTTTAAATTTTTTAATTTTGTCCTCTCACACTTAATATTTGCATATTGTTTTACGTTGCTCACAGCATTAGAAGAGCCGCCCATTGGATCGTCAATTTGAGGTATTTCGATTTTTTTATCATGCTGATTATCATATTGAGTAGCGTGGCGTTAGCCGCCGAAGATCCGATAAACGACGATTCGGATTGGAACAATTATTTGGACGTAGTCGACAACGTGTTCACAGTGATTTTTGCCATAGAAATGATACTGAAGGTAAGAGTGCAGCTGCATGACACGTGCGAAACGAAAATCCATCATGATAAGGATATTATAACTACTCGTGTGTATTGTTTCAGATAATCGATCTGGGGGTGATTTTACATCCCGGTTCGTACCTTAGGGAGTTTTGGAACATAATGGATGCGGTTGTGGTCATTTGTGCGTTCGCGTCATTCATATTCCAAAAAGGGTAATGCATCAAAACAACAAATCATATAGCTAAGAATCCAAAAGTTGGCTCCGTTCTTTGTCCGTTGATTTGTTTTTCAAATTTGGATAAAATTACATATTAACACAAAGAATTACGTTTGTCATTTTGTTGTAATTCAGTTCAAAAACAGGCCGATTTTACATAAGTATATTTAATATTTATCCAACATCACCGATAATTTAAGAATAATATTAATTCAACTTACTTTCTACCGTATTAATTATAGGTAATAACAATATAAAATATCTTAGACTGACGTACCATCTCCACTCAGAATCGTTTTTCGTATACAATAATATAATATCATTAAATTCAAATTTAATACCATCCATTACTGCGATCTTCTGGACACCTAATGTACATCAGAGCAAAATCAACTTACCTGCTTTTTTTCCATTAATTTCTATAACTATAAATGTTGGTGTTTTTCACCTACAACTTGTATAATTTTAGCCATGAGTCATGGTCCTGTGAGCCGTCGTCGTATAATAAAATTTTTCTGACCACGAGTGCTTGTACGTTTTTGTTTCAGCGGTGGTTCCGTTGGCACGAACCTGTCGACAATCAAGTCTCTCCGAGTGCTGCGAGTACTGCGACCGCTGAAGACCATCAAGCGTGTGCCCAAGCTCAAAGCTGTGTTCGATTGTGTGGTCAATTCGCTGAAGAACGTGATCAACATACTTATCGTGTACATACTGTTTCATTTCATCTTTGCCGTCATTGCTGTTCAGCTGTTCCACGGCAAGTTTTTCTACTGTAACGACAGCAGCAAGTCGGTCAACGGCACATGCCAGTGAGTATATTATTATGATTCAAGCGTGCATTAACAGATTTATAAAAAAAAAAAGCTGGAACCTGTTAATTAAAATTTAAACAGTAATTTCGACTGTCAATGTATTTTTGTAATAAAAATAATAATAATTAATAAACCAAGTCAATGAATAAACACTGACATTGTAATAATTCTGATGCCAACTACTACAATCGCATACGGAATAGCTGTTAGATAACTATTCACAACAGTTACGCTCAAGTCAGTGAAGATCTTTCTTTTTTGTTAACACCCATAAATAATTATTATTACTACAAAAAAAAAAAATACAGATAGCCTCCCTACCAAAAGGGTAACTTGTATAATAATTGGCACCTTAAGAAATAGTTTTTAATAGATATTAGCACCTAACTATTGTTCCATTGGGACATTAAATTATGGTTCTTCAAATTAAAAACATGATAACGCAGAGATTGAAATATTGATAATATAACAGTCCCGATGAAACCGAATAATTAAAAAAATATATCCATAAAATTCATAATCAAAAATTATTATTACGAAATGCAAAATTACTTGGCGCCAACAACCGTAACCGTGCCAACAACTATACAAGTTACCAGTTTGCCACATAAAACAAAATATTATTAAAGCCGATAAAATGACCGATATTTCTTATTAGAGAGGCGATAATGACACTATAGAAAATACGAAAGCAATATAGTCACAAATAAGCTGAAAAATCGGTTATGAATCTTCTTAAATATTTAGTCACCTATATTATGTTGTGTAGCGATTAATAAATTATCCTATAGCAGCTGATCTTGTTCGTGGGTGACACAAATTATAAAATGTCATAGGATTTGTCCTGTCTTAAACTCCTTTGAATGTAAACTGCACATAGTTTTGACACTGTAATTTGGGTAGTTTTAACCAAAATATAGGTGTATAATAAATATAGGTCTAAAATGATGGGTATCCAATGGCTATTTTAATTTCTGTAACTAATGGCAACGATATATGTAAATAAAAAACTATAGATACTCGTTATTTTTCCTCCATAAGGAAAATCTATTTGTAATAAATGTTTTTGTTAATAATGGTAACTATAAGAAAGAATGAAAACCTTACGAAAAATTGGTCGGATACATTTTATCATATATCCATCCCAAAAACGTATTTATAATGTTAGAGAATTATAGTTTTTCCGTGAGTTAATGTCTATTCAACATCTATGTGTTGAAAAATATCAAGTAGCCCATCTAACTATGGATCTTGATGAATCTATTGATGACAATTTTGTGAAAACTGCCGATTTGCATAAGGGCCATCCGTTTTAGGTCTATAATTTTATATACTAGACACTAGATTGGTATATTTATTATTTATATAAGCTTACAGCTGATATAAGGTGGTTTTGACAAAATATACAATATATCGGGCTAAAAATATATATAATTACAATTATTTTATTTTATGTAACCAATGTCAACCCTATATAAACAAAAAATATTCGATATTCGAAAGCTAACAAATCTTTGTGTAATCCACCTCTTTAAAATACAAAATTATAATTTTTGGATTTGAGGTGCAGATGCCTCTGGTAATATAGTACACTATTAATGCGATGTGTAGACTTGGTTATGAATTGCTCACATACACACACACACACACAACACACACATATAACTTTCTTTGTTTTAAAATATAAATATCTTATATTGTATCCACGATTTTCACACATTTATCTTAGTTATAATCTCACAAATATTAATATTAATTTTTTATTGTTGGTTAATGCTTAAATGGTAGAGAATGGCAATTTTATCGACTCCAAGTCAGTCATTTACATAATAGTTTATTAAATTGTTTGTTTTAATAATATATATGCGCGTCTAATTTTCGGAGCTTGATGACGATGTATAATAACTATGACCGTTCGCGATTTCCAGGGGTTATTATTTCAAATACGAAGCCGGTGACACGGAAGACGTGAATTCGCAGAAGTTCATACCGACCTCTGAGAGGAGGGTATGGGATCAACAGGCCTTCTACTACGACAACGTGGCTGTGGCAATGTTGACGCTGTTCGCCGTCCAAACGGGCGAAGGATGGCCTCAGTGCGTGCACACTCGGTTGTGACGAGAGTTATAAACAGAGCAAGGACTTTCGAGCATATTCACGGCAGCGTTATTAAAGAGTTTCACATTAATTATAACTACATTATACAGTATGATGTTATAAATAACAAACAAATAAAATAATATGTTAAATATTATTAAGTCCTTATTTCATCCACGAAAATATTTATTGATGGAACGCTAAGAAATAGTAAATGTATTATGAACATCCCACAAGTCTTAAGCCTCAAAAAGTTCGAAATATAGAAAGGAGATACTCACGAAATATATACATGTTCTTGCTCTAGTTATACATAACACTCGTTGCAGTTCATATTATATTATATTTTGTCATATAGAAATGTGTCATGGGGATTTTTTCCTACAGGGTGTTGCAAAATTCGATAGCGGCTACGGAAGAGGACCACGGACCCATACCGAATTACCACATCGAGAGGTCGTTGTTCTACATAATTTATTTTATCGTGTTTCCTTTCTTCTTCGTCAACATATTCGTTGCGTTGATCATCATTACGTTTCAAGAACAGGGAGAGGCCGAACTACAAGATGGAGAAATTGATAAAAACCAGGTAGGACTTGTCTCGTACCTAGTTAGTTCTATTTGCTATAACGCGGTGGCGTAGCCAAGATTTTTCTCTGAGAGGTGCTGATAAAGTGATTATAGTTAGGTAGTTGGTTTCACGAGGTTTTCCCATAAGTTTAGCATGACTGATCTCTAGGTTTTATTTTAGGTTTCAGTTCTCGTACTGCAATAATAATGTGTAATTGCATTAATTATCATAGACCATAGAAATATTTTTTAATCTCTTTAAAATTTGGGAAAATTAAGGGCAATATTCCTAGCTTTACCCCTTGGCTGCGTCTTTATGCAATTTGATTTAAAATTTACAAACTACTATAATTAATGAACGTTAAAGAGTAGGTATGCGTTATTATTATTAACCACACCACTTGTAGTGAATTCATTAATTTCATCACAATATAATATCATGTTAACACAAAAATTTCAACAAACTTCAATCCTCTTTTGGCCCACCGCTCTCCATAGTATCCGTAACCGCACTACAATATGTACGTACTATATTTTCGAGGATTTTCTTCGTCGTCCATAACATACGTATAACATTATTATTTATTACGAATAATAATATGACACCACATTTTAAAAATGAGCACTTTTTAACCGACTATAAAAACCGAGGCTTTATTCCGGTTAAAAAAAAATAGATCGAGAGACTGTGCCCATGTCCAAAAAAGAGCTAGCTGTGAAATGATGTCCATTCCTCCTTGCACTACCCGCAAATAATCATCACTTGCACGTTAATCTCTGGTTGGGCTCCAATCACTGGTGACAATAATATCAACCGGTGATGAGGTATTGATGACGATGATGATGAGGACCACCGATCACGTGTGTTTCAGAAATCGTGTATAGATTTTACCATACAAGCGAGACCGCTGGAGAGGTACATGCCGAAAGACAGGAACAGCATGAAATACAAGATATGGCGGCTGGTAGTGTCGACACCGTTCGAATATTTCATCATGATACTCATCGTCTTGAACACGCTGTTACTTATGATGAAGGTAAGTCTCGTCGGCGTCGTTGGACGCGTTTCGTCATATATATATATATATATATATATTATAAAATATATTTAGCCGTAACATATGTATTGTCGTTATTATAATATAATAATTATTGCCGTACCGTCGAATATTTGCTGAATTCGTTTATTATTATAATTATCACCGATTAACAATGATTTCCCAACGAGATAGTTAATTTACGCACTAAACACCAACAATTATTATTATTATACTAATATTCTACGCAGTGTATAATAATAATTTTAAAAATTATTATGACGAGAACAAACCGCAACTGCGGACGAACTGTTGACAATAATATCATCATGACAGTATAATATCACTATACACGTTTAGTTCGTGGTCTCGTTATTTGTACTTATCGCGGAGACTATTAGCAGAGTTATTTTTGTTTGGACTTTTTTTTAAAATAAATTATTGACCAACATATTTTATTGCATGCACAATTTGCTTAAGCTGATCACTCCCATTTGCTGTGGATATCACACACATCATGGTTTTAATTTTTTTTTTTAATTTTTTTTTTTCAGGTTGCTTCTATTTATCTTTTTCTCTATTATTCCGCATAACTTTTGCTTTCAACGTCTAACAAAAAAAAAAAATTAACTAATGAATACATAATTGATTTAAATAAACGCATCGCTGCCTTTTATATTGATTTTTATTTTATATTGTGTTTTTTTTTATTTTGTTATTGACTAACTGATGACATATATTTTTATTTAAATAAATAGCTTTGAGTAATTTTTATCAGTCTATGCGATGAAAAAGGTTATAACATAATGTGTAACATTTGTGAAGTGTTCTTTTTTATATTTAGTTCACTATCAGAACAATTAAATGCTTTTCATTCTTTCTTTCGTTCTTTCTTCTTTCTTTTATTATTTTTTTTTCACTATAATGGTTGATCATTGTTTTTTTTATTCATTTTTATAGTTTTATCAACAAAAAAAATCCTACAAGACTGCTCTACATTACATGAACATGGTGTTTACTGGCATGTTTACCATTGAGTGCGTGCTCAAAATTTTGGCGTTTGGAGTCAGGGTAAGAGAACACGTGCCAAGTAGTAGTAACCATATTCGATTAATCATATAGATATTCTCTAGAATTAAATAAAATAATTTATCACTATATAGTATATATTATATATATTATATATACATATATTATATTTACCGTCGTTTCACATAGTATTTTATATTATATGATAGTTATTTTAATTTTTGTATGTTAAGTTATTTTTGATTTGAAACTTTTACAAATTTTGTTTTGAAAAAATGATTATTATTATTACTATGATATACGTCCGTCACGTGCTTTCCATTGAATTTGCTCCCGAAATAAAAAATTATTTAATCGTAAAGTCTCACTGACAAGACCCCTTGAAAAATGATATCAAAAATGAACTACTAACCAAAGTGATGTGTACAATTATACTGTATTCCTCCTACCTACGACACATAGATATCCTACAACATGTGTAAGGTAAGTGGTCTCATAATATTATGGATTACACCAATAAATACGAGGACGTGAGTTTTACAGACACATACTACCTGATACGATGTTGATGTTCTTTCTAAATATATATTATGTAGACAAGCATGATTTGTTGGTGTGTTTGTGTGTGTGCGTATGTGTATTTGATATGGTACCTTTATGTCCGCTTGTGTCTTGCGTTTTGAATACTATATTATTATTTGGCATGCCACAACTACTATACTGTTATTGTTAATTTGTTTTTCCAATTAGATCCTTTATAATGCCACCGAGTTTGGGGTTAAATATATTAGTATTATTAAAATCATCATTATTATTATTATTATTATTATTGTGTTTACTTTCTATCTACGGGGGGTATTCGTCGCGAGCTGCGTGAACGCACAAAAAAAATGTATGGCATTTATCGTCGTACTTTTATCGCTCCGTTTTATGTTCAGTCTTGAGCTATAATGATTTGGATTTAGCATTTCCTCATACGGATTCACTAACACGATAGTACAATATGTATATTAATTTATTATTAATATCACCGTGGTATTATATATTACACAATATAATATCCAACACACAGCTATAAAATAGTACACAATATTGTAATATTATTATAATAGTTAGGTATTATTATTATTATTATTATTATTATTATTATTATTATTATTATTATCATCATTATCATCATCCTTTGGATTTGTTGGATTGGTATTTCTAAATTTCGTCTGAATGTTTTAGACGTTCGACATGATATTATACATTATAATATAATAATAATAGTTTTATGACTAAACTATCACATTTTTTTCAGAATTTATGGTAAACAATAAATGTTATTTCCGTTGTTTTTTTTTTGATTTCACCACGAACTTAAAGACGAAAATCATATGTTATTATATTATATTATATATATAGATTGTACAAATTAGATTTGTTTTTTTACCAGTACCTACCAAAGTTTTATTATTAGATACGATATTACTAACCAAAGCCATTTAATTAGTTGCCTGTGTAATATTAAAACGTGGCTTTAATTTGGTTGTTTATTTCGTGGCTGCAGCACCATCGCGAATCGCATCTACTTAACAATGCTCTACTGAACCTCAATCATTTATTGACGCTGCTATTCCTGGTAGAATGTGTCTTAAAACTCATCGCGTTTGGATGCAAGGTAACATTGTTCATGATTAATTAATTATAATTTAATAATTTATATTATGATATTATATATAATTATCATAGACCTATACGATTAAAAAAAAAATATATTGTTCCTAATATTTCTAATTTATTTTTGTTTTTGACCGTCTTCTACGAATGTACCATGTCCTCCCACGGTGATTTCAATGGAAAGCATGCGTGTACAATATTTACACTCATAACAATAATTGTTATTATTGTTTAATAATAATTCAACATTTATAATAATACCTACATAATATATATATATTATTATGTATATACACTATATAGTCAAATGTCTAACCTAAACACGTTGTTTGCTTAACAAAATGGTTTTCAGAATTTTTTTAAAGATCCATGGAATATTTTCGACTTTATCACGGTCATTGGAAGTATCGTGGACGCGCTGGTCATCGAATTTGGGGTAAGATATTTTAAACAATATGTATACTCGTTTATAATCATTTTAGCAGCTCCGTGTTCTTTCCTACACATAATTTATAATATTTATGTATTATGTACAAATTAATAATATATATATATTTTAATTTTACAATTATTAAGTTCTGGATGCAAGTGTTCGTCTATATGGTTGTCTTTCATATACGTATAATAAAATACTATTACATTATAATAACTGATACATATAAATTGTCGACGAAGCGGCCAACCACCTGCCTCACATTTTAATCGAATCAACGTATTTATTTAACGCTTAAGAGCGCACTATAATATTATTATTATATCAACTGTAGAGGAATATTTTTTTAACTGCTGTAAAACGTACAAAAAATTGAGACAAGTGGTGTCGTCGTTTCGTCAGGCAACGATGGATGATATCATAGATTTTGATTGTTTAGAACCCAAATTTACATGGCTATATAATTAATACATATACCTATTGTTTTTAGCGACCATTTTGTGCGCTGCATATAATTTCAGTCATCGTGAATATTTTTCCGTCAATCACTACACACGCTTTACCTAGACATATTATAATAATATCATCATCCTTTTCTCCCGAAAATATTATTATAGTGAACCAACCGGCACGTTGTCGATTTCATCTCACATTATATTAAATTAACCTTCCGTGACTTAACTTAGAGCTTCCAAGTACCTTATAGGATTGATGTATGCCTGTGAAATGCTTTTCGAACCGTTTTCATCGCTATATTTTGTTTAAATATTAACTATAAACGTAAAACCTTTTACATGCAGACACAAAACAACAATTTTATTGTGTCGTAATGTTCGCAGAACGCAATACACTTATTAGGTAAGCCAGTCCGGTTACCAATCGAGAATTTCATTATCTACATCATAATATTTTTATCGAACAAAAATAAAATAGACCCGGGGTAGTATTATAATAAAACTTAAACTGAAAATAACTGTCGGGATTCGAGAACACGAAAATACATCGAATCTAGAATACAAACAGACGTCGAATCGCAGTTGACGTTTATCGGAAATTCGCACGCAAAAAAATAAAAATACCTATTAACACACCTAAAAAATAAAAAAAAAACAATATACATCAGACAGGAATTTGTAACATGTTTACTCTTGTATAGGAACGCCTCGTATATGTGTACCGAACTGTGTTCGAGAAAGATATAGACACACCCATACTACCAAAACTGCTGTTCGGAGAAGTTGTGGAGGTAAATTTTATATTTAAAACATCAGGAGTACGCCAATTTGTTGCATCCGACGTAGACCGCACTTGTATACTGTTGAAGAATGTGTCTTTTGTAATTTTTTTTTTTTTTGGTCTTTTGGACATGGATTTTTATTTTTTATATTAGTTTCTTTTTGAAAAAAAAAATATTATATACATATTTATTTATTATGCAACACGATGGTTATCAAAATATTGCTCTTAATAATTAAGCAGCAAGTGAATATGTAATATATATACACGTATTATGACACTTATTTAGAAAATAGTTATCGACGATCACAATATTATAATTGAATAAAATAAATATTGTTTGAAACGACTTATATCAGCTATGTGATGACAATATTAAACACTATATATATATTGTTTACAACTATTATTAGTAAAATCAGAAATAAAATATTCAATTTGTGTGTAGACCCCTACATTTTTTTAAATTATTATTTGTGAGCGAGCCTTACCCGCAAAGATGTACCTAGGCCTACCTTACGCGTGATATTATAAAACGTGATCAAATCGCCAACGTGGTTTTAAACGTCAATTCCGGTTTCTGAGGTATTGAATAATATTGTGCCTAAATTTCGTTTATTTTTTCGTTATAACCGTAGTTAGGTACCTCTTATTTTTTCATTCAATTTTTCCGGTCAAATCCGATGACAAAATTATCATAATTATCATTATTGATATTATTATGTCGTTTACGGGATTTGTGAACCATAATAATAATTAATAATCCACTAAGGGTTACTCGGATTTTTGGTGTATGTTTTTATACGATATTACGCTAGTGACTTTGATAATGTGAATATTATGTTATTTGATATACGTAGGTATGTAATATTAAGTAGTACCTAGTACGAAATACATTTTATTAGATCATATTTTATAATTATTGGCGATACAATGCAATGTTTAAAAGAAAAAGTAGTGAGTATCGATGTTCATACGTATATGCCTACTTAATACTATATTATTATAATATTATTATACTATTTTATAACTAATTTGACCAATATATATAATGATATATTAATTAAATCTAATGCATTACTAGTATTATAGTAGGTACCCAAAGTACAATAATTATTCATCATCGTAGTAACATATTATTATTATTATTATTATTATTATTATTATTATTATACACATAGAAACACACCATGACTAGCATATTGTTATATTATAGCATATTTAGTCTGACCTTTGAAGAGTAATAATGTTTTAATGACTAATAATAACTGTAGTTACCACCATTATTGTTTGTAGAGTATTTTGTAACACAATATATAGCATTCGAAGAAAATAATATAGGTACTATTATTACAGTATAGAAAATATAATAATAATATTATATATATTATATATTTTTTAAATCGACTTTGTTTTCGTTGTTAAAATATTAGGTAATAATAATAATTATAATATATTCGGCAGAAATGTATAATATTATAATCGTTATTTTGGATAGGATATTATTATTGCGTTTCATAATATTGCTTAAAGAATAATAATATTTATTATTGTATTCTAACTATTTTTTTTAATTTTTTTTTGAACATTCAACATATTATTGTTATTAGGTTTATTTATATGTATATTCTGATCGAGTCCGCGTCTTGCAAGTAGCTTTTCTAGAGTTTTCTACGACTTATATATCATTATAATATGCAATGCAACTAATCATGTACAATCTCGGCTCTTAGGTTTATGCATAATATTTTATCCTTTGCAAGTCATTGCACTTTTTTCATAGTATGGTGTGTGTTTTACATGCTTTTAAAACTGCTCGCTAGCTGTTTTTCAATGTCTATATAGTTTACATATTATATTTTTAATAAATTCATTTTTACTATTGGTACATCCTGCAAATGCAAAAATTTTAGTTCACAGTAAATTTCATTAAATAATAGGGCACACAAGTGTCGAAGCATAGTTTAATAATACTCAACAACGATATCATAGAATAGAAAATAACGACAAATGAGGTATTATTATAAATCAATATATTGATGTACCAATTAAATGATTGCGAACCTTTATTTTATATTTTTTTTCTATCTAAATAATTATTATTTGCGTGTCTTATACACAAATACAAAAATAATATTCATAGTTCACGTCTTGCATTGTAGTATAATACTATAATAAAGCAATATTTTACAATACATTTTTTGAGCCTCTCTATATAATATTTTGATGAATATTATGATGCCAGAAATTAAACTACAATTAGATACTTTGCCATGAAATATTTCTTGTAGCAATTTGATTAGGTACATAAGTAGAGAAAACAAATACCAATAAAAAAGCAAAAAATGAAAAATGAAAAATGTCTAGGCCTGTATAAAAATATATTTTTGAATTAAAATCTCATTAGCAAAAACCCGAGTATCCGGAACGTGGACGAAGGTTTTTTGTTTCGTTTTTTCTTCATTTAATTTGGTTTTTTTCTCTCTCACATTTCTATCTCGCGTTTATTTATTATATTATAATTATATGTATACTACCTATATATATATATAATAATAATAATATGCTGTATAGTTTTTTGTTGGAATATATTGTTTTAGAATAGTTATATATTATATATATATATTTTGACATCACAATTTTCGATAGTTTTCACCGGTATTGAGTATATATTTTTGCAATCCAGACGTAGAGGTCGTAGCATCGTGCAATGTTCGTGCTCCGAATTTTCCAGGAGCTCTGTACACTAACGGTGCCGTGCGCTCTGTCGATGGGTAGGGGGGGGAAGGGGGTGCACCATCTAACTACCACACATCATACACTTTTATTATTCGTCTATTTCGCACATACGACTGCGTTTTCCAGCCAATAGTAAGCCCTGCTCCCCCCTTAATTCGACGCCTTCCTCTTCCCACTCAAAGGGAGAGGAGGGCATAATAATATCGTCGGCATCGTATCGCGAGCATAATGTACTCATTGCGATTAGTGACATTATGTTAAGCGGTACCTACCTATATGCGTTCAGCCGCGGTATCGAGTGATATGTATGAGCTCTGGAAAACGAAAGGACCGAGACATTGTTGCAGCCGCGATACCCTCCGCGTCCGATGCGTATGTGTATATATTATATTAAATTGTGTTAATAATTATTGTTATTATTATTATTATATTATAAAACATGATCGTACAAAACGACACACGATTCGACCGACGGACGGACTCCGGTCCGCCGAGCCTCGAGCTTGCGCAAATCATCGTATTTTATGTTATGTGTTATATATCGGTGTGTAATATATTTTATACGCTCTGCTGCTGATGCTATGTATAATATTATATAATATTATCAATATAATTACTGTTGAGATATCGCCGCCGCTGCCACTGCTAAATAAAAACTAATAATATTATATCGCCGCCGCCACTGCTGCCGCAAATTTCGATGCTGACGCTTGGCACACGATCTATCGTATACAGATATGTTATTATTGTAATCATTATTATTTTGTACGAAGCAGACCTGTGCGAAATCCATTTGTTAATAATAATATTGATATTTGAAATTAATTTCAATAATATTATACTATGCCCGTGAACGGCAATATTATTATTATAATATCGCTGTTGTGGTGTTGCTCTTATTTGTATTACTCGCGTATTCATCACCGAAAACTATACTAACACACTAATCGTGAAATTGATTTTTCTCGAGTGCTGTTTTCGATTTTCCGTTCATTATAGCTATTATTATTATTATTTATTTTTCCGCCGAGAGGCGAACTCAAATCGATCTTTTGCGGGGCGTACCGCGCTGCCGCCCACTGCTCTGCCGGTGCCGGGCAACGGCTGTATATTTGCACATTAATACATTAAACTTACTCGATTTCGTCGCCGTTTTATCTCCTCGGCGTAAAATATTGCACACATCACCACTGATGTCCGTGTACATCGTTTATCTTTTTACATTGATATACGTACTGCTGCTGCAGCAGTGGCCTTTGTTTAGAAATTTTACAGTCGTCAAACGGCATTGCAATAATATAAATAATATCTTCTCGAACAACCCTTAAGCGTCCGGAATTCGATTATGCCGATGCCGCAGGAACTGCCGTTGTATAACAATTATTATTATGCTGTATACGAGGTTCCGAACACCAAAGTACCTGCTGGATTGGCGCCGGTACGGCGATCTCTGTTTTATATTGCAGTGGCGTAATTGATTAGTCGGCGAGTTGGTTTGGGGGGGGGAGGTATTTGGTTTTCCTTACGTATCGATTGTATTGAATCATTACTTTAGTAATGAAATCGACTGATTTGCAAGGTGCGTCAATTGAAATAAATATTTTCTATTAAAAAACGGTTTCCAAAAGAAAGATTATTATTATTATAATGTTGGGCGTCGACCGCAGGGAGCCCCCCGTACCGATATTTAAGGGTCGTGTTGAAAAATCACTAATCTCCATCTCTCTTATTACCATGGGCTAGGTTCAAATACACCACTGCAACATAAATACTGTAATATAGGTTTGCGCGATATGATTTACACTGTTTTTTGTGTTCGACCCATTTACGCACGATTACCGCACCAATAATATCATATAATATTAATTGATCACACAAACATTGTTATTAAATATCATATTGTTCACACCACATAATATTACGATATAAAAAAAATATTATGTTATATAATAAGCATAAGCAGAATGATACGTTTGACTGGCTAAACTAATTTTTTAAGTAACAAAAAAATATTATGATTTTTTATGGATTTGTGAATTAATACATAACACTATATTTTCACAAATGAATATAATTTTCCATCTCTGTGGTTTTCAATTGCTTCTTTAGAAGCAGAATACATTTCTAAACAATATATTGTATATAATAAGGTCTATGAGAAGTACCGGTTACACATTTACTAGGCAATTTTGTCTTGCTCGGTAAAATTTGAATCACGAGTGCAAACAAATTATTTTTCGTACAATAGTTTTTAATCAATGATTACTATAATCATTTATGATTACCAACTAATAATTATATGATATTTAACTATTGTTATATAAATAATTAAAATGTTATCATATTCAAAACATTTAAAAACAATGGTAGTTAATGATGTTAAATTGTATTATATCATATATATTTTGAAAAAAATATTAGAATATTATAATAATGTATAATATACATAATATTATTGATGGATGATCGATGCACCTGTATGCAGCATTGCAAAACAAATAAATGCAAGTGTAGAAAAGCAGACAAACTTTTCAATTCTAAGAACGATTGTAGTAAATTAAATACATATAAATAGGTAATGATAAAATTCTAAATAATCTTAATGTAATAATAAATAATATCATATTAATTTATTTTGTGTGTCATTTCTCGTTGTGCCATCAAAATTAGGTATTCAATTACTAATATTACTATAATTTTGTTTTAAAATACTCATAACAAAATACAATTATATAATTAATAATACAATAATTATATTTTGTTTTTTGTGTCTCCATCAATATAATTATTAATAATAATAAATGGAATACAAAATATTGCACACAAAATAATTAGTTTGTATTCTTAGTTAAATTAGACCATAACATATAAATTTAGAATATTGAATAGCTAAAGATATTTTTTTTTTATTGGCATTCTTCTTACTATTATGAAATTGTAATTTAATAATGGTTGACATTCCGAAAAAAAATCAAAACGACCTAACAAGTACTATAATACATTAAAAAGGTTTCAAACATAATATAATATAATTACTATAATATTTATTTGTGGAGATAATAGTGTAATAAATACTTATAAATTCATATTCACATTTCAAAAATACGAAAATTGACTTTGAACATAGTTGCCGTGTAAACGGATCATCCTAGCTGTATATTATAATAATAATACCTATACAATTATTATGTGCGATACAATGCAACCGCCAACCGCCGCCGCCGCCGCCGCCGCCGCCACTGCCGAGCTTCACGTTCAAATACACTCTAGTTCGTGTGATGATGCGCATAAAATATACATGCGCGTTTAATTATGTTATAATATCGTCTTGAGCTTAAGTACGCCGTTTTTTTTTTTAAGTATAACATCTATAGGCGAGGTTATCTATTTTGTAATAATGTAATATTATAAATGCTGTATATTATTTTACTGGCGCGCGAGGACATCCTACGATGTACAATAACAATATTATTCCGTCACGGGGCGAGGGCCTTTTCGCACTGTTTTGAGCCATGTATGGTAAACAAAAACCCGTTGTTGCAGGAAAACTTAATAAACGTCGGATTTCTACGTCTTTTCCGGGCCGCAAGACTGATAAAACTGCTCCGGCAAGGGTACACGATACGGATATTGCTCTGGACGTTCGTCCAGTCGTTCAAAGTACGTATATATTATAATACATGCAGTAGCTCAATTCGTACCGTTATAGAAGGCGTGCTTGTTTTTGAAGTTCAAACTCAAAAAAGAGGGTTTTGGTTTTTTCCCATAAAAATATTCATCATAAACGATAAAATATATTTTGCTTACCACTGTATTTTTTTTTATTGAAATTGTTTTAAACATTTTTAGTCAATAAACGTTAATACCAAAATATAAGACTGTAAAACATTTAAAAGTGACTGTAAGTATATAAGTGTGAAATATTAAAATTAATTTAAATATAATTTAAGGGTTAAACCCTATTAAAATAAAATAAAAATGAAACACGAATAACTGTCGTTATTAATTATACAAATGTATTATAATAATATATAGTATAATATTTATAGTACCTACATAAAATATTATCCATCAAAGTTATTGCACATGGACATGGATTTAATAAACTCACACAATGCTGTGAGCCGACCTGATTTGTATTATATCATATCTTTTGAAATAATATGATCATATTCCTATATATTTGAATGCATTTCGTTGTTTCACTTGACTTGTGCTAAATACCCTTTCGAACAGCCGTAACCAAAATGTTTTTTTTTGTTTATGATGAATAATATTTATATGAGCGAAAATTAAATCCATATTTCTTCTGGGTTTTTGGCAAAAAGAGTCATTTGGGGACAAAAACTAAAAAGTTGATTTTCAGCGAAACAGGTCCACCCGTCTTTTTTCACTTCCAGTACCTATATTATTGTCCCATTCCCTGTCACACCCGTGATAAACAGGCGACCTTTAACCTTTTATTTTATCGCAGGCTCTGCCATACGTGTGCCTGCTGATCGGCATGTTGTTCTTCATATACGCCATCATCGGGATGCAGATTTTCGGCAACATTGAGCTGAACCCCAACACGGAAATAAACAGGCACAACAATTTCCAAACGTTTGTCCAGGGTCTAATGCTATTGTTTCGGTAATAATAATACAAATAACAATAATACAAGTCTTGATGATATTAGTAAAATTATAAATTGTTATAATATTGAATATTATCCATCGTCTCTATTCGTCGAGACGTCTTAAATATTGTATTCTTTTCCGAAAAAAATAAAAAATAAATTTGACTGTTAAGTAAAACCAATAAAAAAAACCTAAGGGGACCTCTGCAGGTTATCGCGTGTAGTATTCGTGTTCTAACGCATTTGCGTCTTACAGATGCGCCACGGGCGAAGCGTGGCCGTCGATCATGTTGTCGTGTAATCACGGGAAAATGTGCGAGGCTGGTGCCAAGAAGTTGGACAACGATTGCGGTTCGAACATGGCGTACATGTATTTTGTGTCGTTCATATTTTTCTGCTCGTTTCTGGTAAGCACGACTAACCTATACGTATCGAAGTAATCGATTGTAATAATAATCATTAATCATATAATATAACGAGACATTTCTCTTAAAACGACTATACACCATAATATAATATACCATTTTCCCTGTTCACGTCACAGATGTTGAACTTGTTCGTGGCAGTTATCATGGACAACTTTGATTACCTGACTAGAGACTCGTCGATTCTGGGTGCCCATCATCTGGATGAATTCGTTCGGATCTGGGCGGAATACGACCCAAACGCAACGTGAGTAGTGACATATAAATATAAAGTGTCTAATCTTATTGTAACAAATAGGGCTGAGAATTTAATAATATTGAATGTTTGATGAATTTTATTCTGAATTTCAAGTATATGCGAGATACAAATTACCTATATGACCAAACTAAATACGGAATTTCATTTTGGATACAATTTAGATGCTATTATAGTGCATAGTAATTACTAATACATGAAACTGTTTTTTTATATATATATTGTAAAAACATGAGGTTAGGTATATATATATATATATACATGTAGTAATGTAGTTGTATACCAATAGACTATAGAGCTTAGTATTTTGATATGAAAAGAGTAGTTTTCAAAGTGAGTGCCATTTTAAGTTCAAATAATTTCATATTTCGATCAAAACTGCAGATAGGTAATCCTGCAGTTAGTCGGTTTTGGCATATATTATACAGTTGCACCACGACCCACGTTTCAAACACATATTTCATCAATTTCTTAGTTTCGAGTTAGGTAGGTTATTTGAGGTTTTTTGTGCACTCGATTCTTTAAAACCTGATGATAATATAATGGTATCGAAACGAGATATAAACTTTTGGTAACGATTATGTGTAATTATGCGCACCCCAGGGGAAAGATACACTATACCGAAATGTACGATATGCTCAAAAACATCGATCCGCCATTGGGTTTCGGCAACAAATGTCCCAACCGTTTGGCTTACAAGAAACTCATCCGGATGAACATGCCGGTCGACCAGGATGGCAAGGTGCAGTTCACCACAACGCTGTTTGCGCTCATCCGAGAAAACCTGAGCATAAAGATGCGATGTGGTGAGTACGCGTAAAGTATTGATAGTGAAGTGTGTTGTTATTGTTGTTGTGAATTTTTGTGGTTTGTCGAACCGTGTGCTATGACGCCGCTAGTGAGTCAATAACATAAAATATTTCTGTCCGCAGCCGAAGAGATGGACCAGGCGGACGAGGAATTGAGAGAGACCATCAGACACATATGGCCGTTACAGGCCAGAAAGATTTTGGACCTGCTCATTCCGAAAAGCGATTGTGGGTTTTTTCGTTTTTTCTATAGTTTACTCTGAACGAGTTTTATTGAAAAAAAAAAAATAAATATTTTTCGCCTGATATATAGGTCTGAACGCCGGAAAACTGACGGTAGGCAAGATATACGCGGGTCTGTTGATTTTAGAGAGCTGGAAGTCCACCAGATTCGGTCAGGTCGAATCGTCAAATCCACAGGTAATACAATTCATATTGAACGTCTATAGCGAGTATCATACCTACAGTTAAAAAAATATATGTTTTAATTAATCCAAATTATAACAATATTATTCCCTACATCTGAAAGAGGATTAAAACATATTATATGTTATTTTTAAAAAATCAAAAAAATACAAGGATATACTGTAGGACGAACTAAATATATAATAATATAAGCATTATATATATATATATTATCACAGCCCGTGAGAAAATCATACAATAAAAATGTTAGCAAATTGTACGAAAAAAAACGAACCCTAAAAATCAAAAAAATATTTATATATACATAATTTTATGTACGTTGAAGTCAGTTGTGTTTTTTGTTTATTGTTTGAGTGCTGTTACCCCTGATTTTTATTTTTTTTTTACGAATTGTCATATATTATATACCTATATTATTTGTGTTGTGAACTGTTATTATATCGATGCGTGTTTATTTTCCTTGGACCCGTTACAATGTTTTCCATTGATGTGTTTTGGTGAAACAATTATTGTTATTGGTTGGTGTACAGCGCATGCACGGTTTTTTAATTTCGGATTGTTTATGTTCTGTTCTGTTGTTTTTTTTTTTTTTTGTTTATTTGTTACTATTTTAATGATGGTTCAAAAATCAATGTTGTGTGCGAGTGAATAATTTTCGTTATAGATCTATTTCCGCATTATAAATAATTATAATTTACAAGGTACGAGAAAATTTGAAGATTATTATACGAACAAACTATAATTAAAATACCTATACAATATAACAATAATAATAATATCAATAAAAAAAAAACAAAAAACCACCACAAAATTGTTTTCGTACTTTGGGTTTATAACGAGGACACTAAATTTGTTTTTGTAAAAAATTACAACATTGAGCTTTGTGAACACACGAAATAAAATACACGTTTTGCTTTTACACGTTCACACATGTTTGACGATATGGTTTTGTTTAAATTATTGTTTTGTTTTTTGTTTTGTGTTGTAAGACCCCTAAAACTTTTCTCAAAAAAAAAAAACCTTGGAATATATACGTATATATATATAAAATAAACAAAACTGATTGATTTTTATTATAATATGAGCGTATAATAGTACGAGTTTAGTTGAAATATTAAAACACAAATAAAAGTGTTGTTGGTTTATCGTTTTCATTTTTATTATTTTTGATTAATTTTTTATAGCTTTAAACATAATATATTACAATATATTTGATATATAATACAGTTTTTTTAGTAGATAGGTGATTATAGTCAGTGAAGTAGGTATATATAATGTCATTGATTAGTGTAGTATGTGCACAAAATAATAATTTGTCAATGTGTGGAGAATATTGAAGGTTAGGTGAAATTGTTTTTAGGCATAAAACCGTGGAACACTGTTGATGTTTTTAGGCTTAGAATATTCGTAGAACACATAATATTTTTTTAGAGCATGGAAAAAGGGTGAACGAAATTACCTAGTAAATGGAAATTGAGAACAGTCGACATAGAGACAGTTTATATTTATGTGTTTGCTTTCAGGACATTGCAGAACATAGTTCCCCAGAGCCGGTAGTATTTATTTGAGTTTATTCAATTATTTTTATATATAAATGTATCATTATTATTATTTTAAATCATTAGTTACATATTATTTTTTTCACATTATTATTATTTTTATTTGTTTTTGTTTTTGTTTATGTTTTTGTATTTATATTTATTCAATTATTATATATTCATTTTAAATTTCATATTTCATTGTACAGATAATTTTTCGTGTCGTTCAATTCTCATTTTCATTACTCATGATAATACGTAGGCACCAAGGTGAAACGTTGCTAAACTTTACAACGATATTACAAACTAATACATTTCTTTATAACGAAATCAAAACGATATTTGAAGTTTTATTAAATATTTATAAACGTTAAAGTCGGAAAAATATTTAAAATTTAAAATCATCGATATTACCCGCACAGACAAAGTTACACGAAAATCACTGTGTTTAATATCTATCTCTGTCATATTACCATTACAACCCCAAGTAAATCAAAATAAACATTATATGGCAACGTTTCGTCTTGTGTTTTGATGTAACTAACATAATATATTATTATCATAACATTATTGTTGTCGAATTTTCGATGTTTTTCATTCATTATTCTAGTTCAATCACGATTTATAGTTAACTTTAATTTGTCATTTTTCAATAATTTTTTATTTATTTTATTTGTTTATTTATTTATTTTTTTGGTTTTATTATTATTTTTATATTGTTTATTACATTTTATTTCGACGTATTATTCGTTCAAGTCTTGTCCTTTTAAAAGCACATTACAAAAATCCCCGAGTTACCTGAAACATATTTATTATTATAACACCCTTATTTATTAATATATACATATATATATGTGATATATATTTATAATATACAATATATACATTTATATATTTATATATTTTACCTAACTATATTAATTATTTTAGACTATAGGTAACGTACGTGTACACATATAAACATATTTTTGTTCGTCTATTAGACCACAGTTCAGCTGGCTATATTAGATTCTTTTACATAGCGCTAAACATTTATATATTTTATATTATTATATATACTATTTGTATCTACTTTTTCATCATTTTTTTTTGTACTTCTATTTTAATAGATTCATTTTTAACTAACTATATAATTACAGTCATGTATAAGCACGGGTCTCTAAACAGATCAGTATATATATATATATATACCTTAGAGCGGATTACATAGACTTATTTTTATTCATTTATTTATATTATATATATATTTGTTTCATATCCACTCAATAATGTTATTATTATTATTATTATTATTATTATTATTATATGTCTATTAGAATAGCATACTTCATCATAATATTTCTTTATAATATCGCATATATTTTGTATACGTTTTTTTATTAATATATACTTATATACACTTACGAAATACTACATTAGTTATCGACGTAGCCTTAGACTTTTTGCATTGTGTTTTTGCGTACCCGCATTCTTAGAAAGTAATTCCACAGTACTTATTTAGTTGCACGGATTATGTACAAATAATAATATTATTACTAGTACTAAACAATACATGTATTACGTAGTATAGATACATATTGTGAATGTGTAGTTAGAATATATGTATTAGAATGCAATGGTTTGTTATTTATATTTATTTTTCCTTTTATTTAAATGACAACAATATAAAACTAAGAAAATTAATATCATATATACTATATATAAAAAAAAGAAAGAAAGAAAGAAAACAATAAATCGTGAGATTTGAAAATAAAAAGTAAAATAAATTATTATTTCTGTTTTTAAGCTTATACATAACACCCGCTTGATGACAAAGCTTCGTACAACATCTTCGTATAAAAACACATACATACAAAGCTTCTTTTTTTAGGGAGATGTGGTGGTGGTTAGGCTATACAAAACTATAGTTGCACACTGTTGCACTTCTAACAAGCTACTATATGTAATTTTTTGCTAATTTTTTTATTGTTTTTTTCCATTTCTAGTTAACTATTTTATCTTTATACTATCTTTTTTCTATAAAACATTATTGTGTAAAAATTTCAAACAGCACTCATCATTCTTCACGTGCCTGATGGAGGCCGCCGGTGCGACAAATTGGAACGCGGAACGCGGACAGGACGAGGACGAAAACAGCTGTTTGCTGACCAGGAACAACTCCAGGAGCAGGTAATAAATATAGAAAGAAACAATTCTAAAAAAACAATACCTATGACATTGAAGAACCATGACCTACATTCTAATTTCCGGTTATCTCGATAATTATTAATATGTGATCAAACGTTATTTAATTGTTTCTATAACATTCGGGAGTAAAATGTTACAATATTATTATATCTGTTGGAATAATTATTAATCTAATGAATTCGAATCGTCGTTGACTGTAATATTATAATCATAATAATAACAATCGACCAATTATTATAATATCAAATGCGTAACATTTTTCGAATTTTTTGTTAACGTATAAAACAAAAACAAATGGCGATTTGTTGGGTCAAATAACACTTAACAATATTACAATGTGATTAGATATTGAAGTGGCGAATGGAATGTTTAATAGTGTCACGTGTGTTGGGGTTTATAGTAGGTAGTATGTCATCATTTTCTCACCAAATCTGGTGACGTTTTATGCTTAGCTGTCTAATATACTGATGACAGACGGTTTTATTTGTTTCAGGTCTAAAAAGGTGATGATCGTATGACCAAGTAATATTTACTCATGAATACGTCAACCCGATCCCTAGAGAGTTCACCCTGTCCCGTTTTATATATTTTAAGTCTAGAACGCAAAACGACGAGACTTGTAAGACCTATTATTAATGACCGTAGGCGATTATTATTACTAAAGCATACGAAATATTTTCATAGTATACCTACATTTAGTATTTATTATTTATACAAGCTTAAAAAGGTACCTACCTTACTTTTATATAAATCAAAATCCGAAAAGAATGAAAATATTACTTCTATGGTTCAATAGCGTATGTACATAATTTAATGATATAATATAATACAATAATATGATATACCTACGCACTATAATAAATTACAACATGATAATAATATAATATTATATATGTATAGTTAACTGATGATATCGATTCCACAAGTGCCAAAATGTTTAATTGTGTCAAGTGACTACAATCTGTGTGTAAAACGGTTCTGTGTTTGTGTATTTTCAGCGGTATATAACGCAATCCAAACGTTTGAGGAGGAGACGTGGCGATATTTTAGAAAAGGTATATTTTGATGGTTTGAGATTTTATTAACTCTCCCGGAGATAGATACGTTGTGTTTTTTTACTCCTTGATTGATTTATATTATAATATATACAATAATATAAAATTTAATTTTATATGTTGTTATATTTTTGTATTTCGTTTATGTACGTAGAACTCTTGAATTTCGACTTTTTTTTCGGAAACTATGGATTTCGATAATACATATAATTGTGTATTTAGACCTTTTTTGTGTGGTTGCATAGACTCTAGTCACTTGATGGAACTCTCTCTTAAGTATATATTCGTACACACACACACACACACATATATATATATATATATTATATATATACATATATCATATCAAATATTTGTATATATATATACAATATATATATTATACTCTCACTTCGCGACCCTTCGTTGAAACGAAAACATGTTAAATATTTATAGAGAGTTTAGATGATTTAGAACGATTTATTTACTATTATTATTATTACTATTATTATTATTATTATTATTATCATTATTATTTGTTGACTTGGTAAGGATATCACTATTATTATGTAGCATACATATTACATATATATTTTTAATTTAGGTAGGTATGCCATTAAGGTAATATTATATTATTATTATTATTATTATTATTATTAGGTATTGTTATATTGTTATATTCTATCGTAGGTGTATACTAAATATTATTGTTTAGTGTTGGACGGACACTATTTGTTCGTTGTTATATAATATTATTCCAGGATAGATGTATAAAATTGATTAATATGTTTAATAATTAATATGTTATATTTAGGTATATGTATTTCTAACTATTATTATATTTATAATATTTATAGACTTTAATTTTGCACGATGCATGTGGCGCAAAATTTGCATGCACTTTTCAACATCTTATCCACTTTTTTCATTATTAACATTATACATATTATACATATATATATATATAGAACTGTGGTCGGTTGGTGAAATAATTTTAAATAACTCCCGCCGTTTTTGTTTTGTTTTTATTTTTCGATCCCCTCACGAAATTTCAATTTACAAACAACATGTACGATTTAACCACACTACCCTATAATACTTGTCGTTTAATTTTTTTTGTTTTCGTATACTGTTTTTTTTTGTGTTTTACCTTAGATTTCTTTTCGTTAAAAAAAAAAATTCCGATAATACTATACCTTACCGTCGTCGAGATAGCCGTTATTTTTATTTTTATTTTTATTTTTTTTGAATGCAGGAGTTGTCCCTTATATTACAATATTACCCGTTCAGTAAATACTACCGGCAAAGTACTGCCGTGTGTAAATTTATTATAATATACATAATATATTATAAAATATTTATTTCCGGCTTTAATTGAAAAAAGAGATGTTTTTTTAAAAAAAATTTCTGTTCCTAAAAACTTAATTGTTATTATTTAGGTACCTACATAATATACGCCAGGTTTTGGTTTCGTTATATTTTATTTTTATCCATATTTTATTATTATTATTATCATCATTGTTATACCATTATTATTTGTTTTGATTTTCCAACAGCATTCCCATTATTATAATGTAATAATACGTGTAAATAAACCAAACATTATTATATAATAATATAAGTACTAACATAACCGCCGCTAATACGTCATAATACATACTATTATATGGATGATATAATATTATACGTATATTGTTCGTATTAACGTCCGCAAACGCCGTATACACGCGGGAACAGTATATTTATACACTAGGGCATGGGCGATTTACAGGTGATGGAGCTGACGGACGTGGTGATTTCATCGCGGAGGCCGTCCGAAGATTCCAACTCAGACGGACAACAGCCCCAGCACCAGGGTATGCACTTACATCCCGGTTACAGGCAGCAGAGATCTCGATCGCCGAGCATACGGTAAGCGGTCAACCGCCGACAACCATACGAGTAGTTGTATAATACTGTGGTACATTAGACATGACGTCCCTATTATACAGTGTGTGCCGCAATTGTGAGCGTGATGTCGAGAGGGTGGGAGGGATGGTCGTATTATTAAGAGCCCCCCCAGCCCCCCTCCCACTACGAGCAAAGGACGATCATGATATTGGTTTATTCACATAGGTAGCTATACGCGGCTGACTGTTTTATCGACTTAGCCCAATCCATTCCCCTTACACCCGCCTGCATTGTGAATTCTTGTCTCACGCGAATAGTTCGTCCCCTGAACGCTGCTGGTTCAAACCAAATCGAATGCAAACAACCATAATATTATAAAAAAACTGCAGTACGCATCTGCCACGCCATGCAAAGGTTCACATATTATGGGTCTCAACGTTTAAAAAAAAAACCAAAGTGTACATCGATTTTGGGGGTGGTGGGCGAATGAGTAGAGGACAGGGTCTCCCTGGTTCTGTTCATTTACCGTAAACCCAGTTAACATGATGACTATATTATGTGTTATGTTGTTGCCGTTCGCGATGAACACAGTAGAGAGCGTCATACTCCGTCGCCAATCAGGAGATACCATCAACAATCTCACCACTACCATCACCACAGTCATCATCCGCACGAGATCGGCTTCAGCGACACTGTGTCCAACGTCGTCGAGATCGTCAAACAGCTGGATCATCGTCGTCATCCTAGAGGTATACACACGATTTTTACCGTAATTAACATATTATAATTACTCGATTCCTGTTCATCACACACTCACAGACACATTGCATTAGACAAATCTATAACTACAATATGCACGATATACATACGATGCTATTTCATAGGTACCCATTTTTAGAAAGAAAAAATCGAATCCGCCCAAAACCGCGCACCAAAGTTGTAACGACATTTTCCAAAAAAAAAAAATAAAAAACAAAAAAATAAAAAACCTTATTGTAATAATATTCTAGTATGTTGCGTTTTTATATGATTAAACGTCAAAGAGTAGGTATACTATTTGTAATTGTCGATCGACGACGTACATATCGTACTCTATCACCGCACACATATCATTCGATATCACGCAGTATATATAATGTATCGTTACTATAACAGCGCGTTGGTGCAATCATTATGACAAGGGCTAGGAACTTCTTTAGAAATATGCTTTGAAAATCATTTTGTTATAACGTATGTGACTATACCTAATACAATTACTATCTGTTTTATGAATAAAATATATTTTTAAATAAATTGTATTCAGCTATCGGTCTAGCAGTTCCCGTGTATCTCGATTACAAATACTTGACAAATTAAATATTCATTATTAAATGTTTTTTTCTTTTGCATACATAATATTATTGTTTATACATTTATTTATGAATATCTCCATTAACCTATTATAATCACAATTGTATTATTATTCCACTAAAGTATGAGAACACAATTAACAAAGTATATTATACAAAATTAAATTAAAAATAACATGAAGTCCCTACATGTGATGAAAAATACTCGTACATCACTTGGCTATATTCTATAAGAGCATGCAGTATCTCACAGAAGACAAGTCCCTAGCCCTAGTAATAAGTTGTTAAATACGTATCGTGGGACAACGATATAGTATATATAATTTGCGTGTTTGACCGATATTCAGAATTGTAACGAACAAGCTTATATTATATTATATTCAGCATAATATTAATATAATGATGTTGTGACATATTCGATGGTAAACCGTCAGTGGTTTTTTTTTTTTCGTTAGGTCAAGGTACTCAAAGTCAGACATAAGGATAACGGTACAATTATTATTGCACGTATTTTTTTCTTTATCATTATTATATCATTTTATTATTACTTGCGAATCGATATACATATAGTACATAATATTATATATTATAATATAAATATACATATATATAGACTTGTACGATGATTATATTGTTATTTTTGTTGTACTTGCAATTTCGTATTTCGTTCAGATTTTGAACGCCATATCTACCGAGTGTGTAAATACGCGTATAAATATTAAACATACTATACTGCACATTACGAAATTGAATATATAATTATTATTATTATTTTCAACAATATTGTAATACAACTGTGACATAATTTTGATCATTTAATGTTGTTTTACTAACTTTGCTATATTTATGTATACATCATCTTATTATTATTTTCCAATTAATTCATATATTATTGACAATACAAGTATATTAGGTATTATATTATTTATTACGCTATTATTTTTTTAATACAGTAGGTATAGATTTAAATTATTTTTTGTGTACATTTTACATAATCATTCGCCCGCATGAGCTGTATACAGTATACTATTTAATATTATTATACTTCAACAGAAATAATAAAAACATTTACATACTAAAAAATTCAAAAAGTAGTTTTGTTGGTCAATTATTATTACACTCATTAAAATATGCGTATAAAGTATTATTCGATGCATATACTCAATATTTATATACATGATGATTCACCAAACATGATCAACCCTATCTGTTTGTTTTATCAATACATTTATTTAAATATTGATTTTCAGAACTCTTAAAAATATACATCAATTCTGTGTTTTGAAATTCTCGAAATTTTTCTTACTAATTCAGTGTCCTGTGGCGTCACAGACTTCTGTATTTCAAATGAGAACCTCCTATTTTTTCTGTGAATTATTTAGTCGGTAATATTTTTTTAAAAAGTATTAATTATAATAATTGGACCATTTTTACAAATTATAAGCATTGACAAATTAATATAATTTCTTCCAAACCCATATCTTAGACCTATAATCCACAGTACACAAAGTTAAATAACTCAATCATTACTCATACGGATTTTGATTTTGATAATCCGCTAAATAATGACTTTTCGGATGTTTTCATGTGAAGACCAGAAGTTTTCATCTCCGCTGGATGTTCCTTAAGTATATCATATATATTTAAAAATACCAAAAATCATATTTAGATAAATGCATTATTTAAGAAAAACAATAGGTGTGAGTATGCCCGGTGAATCACCTTACAGTGTATACTAAGTAATTTGTTTATTTGCCTCATATTTAAAGGATTTAATTTGGTTTTTGAGAAAATTGGTCATACGAATGAGGTTAATATAATAATATTTAATACTAACGTTTTGAAACGAAAGCTTTTCGCCGAAATCTAATGGCCACTGTATCGCTGTTTAGTATGAGACGATATCGGAATCTTTAAAGCTACGGCGAGTATGATAACTCTCAGCCCACGTCTCGCAGGTATTAGGTCGCTCAAGAAAATCTTACACATCACAAATATTCCTGTTTTTTATTGATAGAACTACAGACTTGTCTTCATAGGTCAATCGTTTTTTTTACATTTTAACACTCAAATTGTTTTGTATATTATAATTTTGTTTTTTTCAAGAATACCTACAGTAAAATTACTATGCTAAAACTGTTTCTCGAATTTCCCAAGCTCGTCCAAAAAGTTTGTTATTTCGTATAGTATAAAATGTTGAAATCATTTGATTATGGACAACAGTCCTTACGCTGATAACGTTTAACAGTAAAAATATCATATAATTTAGACCGTCGTCTTATGCTCATTAATAATATTATTTTTGGCCGATATCTAGAACACGTAGGTACAATACTGCAATTTATTACGCTCTGCGCCATCAATCAATCAAGTGTTATAAAATTGTAATCATTATAAAAGCATTTAGTACGATTTCCTAGCCACATTCAACCTAGTGGAAAATCAAAATATTATACTTTCCATTCGTGTGATGTGTATATTTGATGAACTCTCGGAATCAAACGATTGGTAATTATTATTAATTAATACACAATAATAAAACGTGCAACGATTCTCAGATACAGCCAATATAGGTAACATGCATAATAATGTTATATATATATTTATACTTAATATCGAATACGCGCTTTAACTCGTCAATAATAATTTTAACACAGGTACCTACACTAGTTTCCCGTTCGACTGCGATTTATCGAAAACTCTTTGCTTGACACTCTTGACACTCGTTTACATAATACCTATACCCAGTAGGCAGTAAATAATAATAAATTATCACAATCGAAGTTTCCTTTCAACATACTTACACTTAGCTTAGGAAGACGCTACATGATGTGTTGCGTCTCAGCGGTCTTTCAAACTCATATGACGTGGAAAATTTGCTTTCAGTATAACCGATTTTGTGTTGTTAACTAATAACTTTAATATTATATTAAAGTTAATATTAGATAACCCGTGATCGAACTTAGACGTGACACATAATACGTTATCAAAAGTCATCTATCGTCGATTTTTTAAGATATTTTAATTTTTAAGCGAGTTGTGAGCGTTTTTATGTTTTAGTATGTTACATATTAGTGATAATTCATCGTAACGAACCAATGAGACACAACGGACGATGTTCTTGCCTTTGAGTTTGATCGCAGGTTAATTCACTAAAATATTAAAAGGATTCGATCCAGACTGTCTTTAAAGAGTTCAAATAGGTCGTTTTCTATTTAATAATTTCAAAATGAAAATGAAAATAAAATAATGTTTGGAAGATAATGAGAATCACCTGCTTATCGGTTCCAAAATTAACATACAGGGAAATTAGTAATTATAAATATGTGACTTACGAGAAATTTGAGGGCATATTTTTTTTATTCAAACCAATTTTACATGTTAATCATTTTTACCCTAAATAATTGGTGGCTGGTTTAACGATCACCCCTGTAGGGTTAGGGTGATATTCCGAGAAAAGTATTATCTCGGAAGTGTTCATATTATATTATAACCCATGTAGGTACACTAATATAATATCCATTTGCACAATTCTACACTCACACTCAACTAGGTGACAAATTTGTAATTATTTTTAGGGTCGCTTTTGCAAAAGGCGCTTGGTGTAGTTACGCCGCCGGGGCAACGTGTCTGTTTAGTCGTATCATATGACTATAAGCTGCCATCTATCCGTTTACGATTTTTATTTTTTTTCATAAATTCAAAAACCAAAATCCCGGGAGCAGGGTCCGAAATCGTCTCCGAAATTTCACTGCGCAACATCGCTATTAACATACTCTCCACCACTTTATACATATTATTATTATTTATTATTTTATATTTACTTGCAACATACGCATTGATTACGCGACATGTAAAAAACACTCGCCGGTCGTATTAACCGTCGAGGAGTTAACGTTTCGTGATACGATACAGTCCTCGACTTTATGCGACATTAAACCATACGTATTTCGATGGCTTATGGTGCGCAGAGCGGACAAAATATATTATAATTCAATAAATAAGTCAACTTTCGACCGAATCACACTTTTTAGGTCCATTCGAATATAAATTCTGTAGGTATATTGGATTTATACTTGCAATAATAATGATTGTTGTGAACACTTTAGTTCTTGTACCGAAAAATAAATATCTAATGGAGTCTTAAAAGCTACGACTATAATAATTCTTCACTCGATTCTTAGTGTATATTTTATATTTTTCAACAATAATACACAGTCGCGATCGATATGTACATAAATATTAGTATATGAGTGCGATAAGCCATCGATGTATCATATATTATACCTTAGAGCATAATATTATAATATTATATTATTTCGATGGCATTATATAACTATATATAATATACCGTGATAACGGTTTAAACCATAATATTATAATAACGATGAAACGTGGTCGTGCGCGTGTTCACGTCTGTCCCACAGGTTCTTGGTCGGCGTCCACGAGTCCAGTCCGGTCACCCAGTCCGGACAGGTCGGAGAGCGGCCGCACGTACTACGGCACCACCAGCTTGGACCAGCGGTCACGTTCCCCTTCTCCGGTGTCGACGAACGGCAGTGGCCGGCACCAGCACCACCACCAGCAACAGCAGCAACACCACCATCAGCAGCAGCAGCAGCAGCAGCAGCAGCAGCAACAACAACACCATCAGCAGCAGCATCACGGAGGAGGCGGCGGCGGTGGGGCATCGGCTTCGTCGTCCGCCGCCGCCGGGCCGACGTCGTCGAGACAGCAACAACAGCACCAGCAACCCGCGCCGCCGCCGTCGTCGTCGTCGTCCGTGTCTCACCACGGGCCGCACCAGCCGTCGCAGTCGCTGTTGGGCGGCGGCGGCCACGCGACCTCCGTGTCGGCCATGATGACTGGAGCGGCCGCGGCGTCGGCGGCCGCGGCGGCCATGACGATGCCGCCGCCGTCCGTGCTGGTCAACAGCAGTTACCCCGTGCTGGCCGTGGCCAGTTACAACAGGCGCCGGTTGCCGCCCACGCCCAACAAACCGTCGTCGCTGCAGCTCCGGCCGCCGCACCACTCGGCCTCGATAAATTTCCCGAAGCTGAACGCGTCGCCGACGCGCAACCAACCGGCGGCGCTGCCCAAACCTCCGCCCGCGGCCGCGTCGTCCACGTCCACGGCCGCGGCCGTGGCCAGGCAGAGTATGGCCATGACGGCCATGCCCCCGCTCAGCTTCGAGCAAGCCATGTCGATCGGCCGCAGCGGCCGGCTGCTGCCGTCGCCGGTGCGCAACGGGTACGCGTCGTCGTCGTCCAAGCAGCAACAACCGTCGTCGGTGTCCGCGATCAGGCGGCAAAAGAGCGGCGGCGGCGGCGGCGGCGGTGGCGGCAGCGGCAGCGGTGGCCGGGTGAGCAGCCGGCACAGCGATTCGGACGAGGACGACTGGTGCTAACCCTTGCTGTCTGGTAGTGGCCGTCGCCGCCGCCATAGCAGCAGCAGCAGCAGCAGCAGCGACGACGACGACAGTAGACTTTTCTGCAGAAGCCGCCAACGACGGCCGCCGCGACGACGGAAAACGACGCTCGTCGGATCGTTTCGGTCGCCAGCGCCGCGATCGCCGCGACCGACGATCGCTGTCGCGTCGTCCTCGTCTTCTTCGTCGTCGCTGTTGGACTACTCCTCGCGCTCTGTTGCGCCGCTGTTGCCGCCGCCGCTGGACAAGCAGCAGTAGCCGCCGCTGCCACCGCCCAAATTTATAAATATTAACATATATTATTATTATTATTATTATTATTATTATTATTACCTAATTATTATTATTATTATTATTAATAACTATTTCCGAACTAAAAAAAAAAAAGAAAAACACACGGCTCGTTGTTTTGCGCGTATACTCTCGTCGTTTTTTTCGTTTTGAATTTTTTTAAATATTGATTTTTTAACGTACGCGTGCATTCTCATCTCGACGGTGTGCGTAACAATTTGTTAAGAAGTCGATAAAATATGATATTATATTATATTATATTTAGTGGATAAATAATATTGTATTTCCGCAAAGTGTTGGTTTTGTTTTTTTTTTTGGTTTTATAATCTCATGAACGTATTTTTATCATAACATACAAAACAATAATAATAATTGTATTACAATCGTCTCGCAGTTTCCGTATATTCAGATTATAACATTTTAAAATAATAATAATATGTTCATGTGTAGGTACATAATATACGTTTATATTATATGCATACATTTTTTTTTATGGCCGGACATTCCCTTCTTTTCACTCAGTCGTCCCTAAAACCGTACAGCAACCCTCTTACCCACACGAATGCCACCCATCACAATATTACGTATAATGAAACTCACCGTCGTCGTGTTCACCCACACACCCACACATCACAAGCGTCTCTTATTATATTATTATTATTATTATTATTATTATTATTATTATTATTATTACAATTATTATCATGATGTCGTGTCTCGTTCTATATCGCTCTACACTTTACAATCATAATAATATATAACACACAAACAAACACACACACACACACACTCACACTCACACAACAATATCGAATTATATTAAATTATTATTATCGATCTGTTGAACTAAAATAATGAAATTATAAAAAACTAAATAATAATTATCATTGTAAATAACATACCCCCAATCCACGCGAATAAAAACTAACTGTATACAATATTATATTATGAATATTATTGTTATTGCTTATTTCGTCGCCTTACAAGTATTATGTAAATTATGAAACGCGTTACAATTAATAATATATGAGATAAATATATATTTTTTTTTTAAATATTCCGCCTCTACATTCGCGTAATAAAATTATGTTTATACATTTTCTTTTTTAAACTATCTCTACACACCGTTATGATTACGACCTTATACGTAATATTTTGGAATAAATCGATTGCATCTCCCCCTCCACTCGATATCGATTGTTGTAACCTAACCTAAGGTACCTTCTGTACGTTTCGTGGTCCTCACACTTTCGATACCTAACAATCTTAACGTTTTCAAATAATTTATTAACATATATACTCTCAATGCACCAAAATAATAATAATATTTCATATATAGGTAGCTGCAACGCGAAAATTTACTCTCGTTGTTTTCCCAATAAACGTTTTGGAAAAACTACGAGTATAAGATCACGACTGGTGGCTTTTTTCGGCAACAAATTTCAATGACCTAACAGATTTCAAATTTTTTTTCTCGGAATTGCGCAATCAAAGGTCACCCGACCTGTTTTTTGTGATCTTATCGTCCGTGATCGTATTATTTTCTTAACATTTCATTCACGTCATAATATTATTAAAATTGTATGGGTATGCGTTGTGTATGTGAACGATGGTACATATAATAACAAGATGTGTTACCCACATAAAATAAAGAACTTCGTTCAATCCTTTAACATTTTTATTTTAGTTTTTAAAAATTCCTCATGTTCTGCTGAATAAAAATATATTGTGCATAAACGGGTTGCCAGCGTACCTCCGTTACATAGTGATCATAATATTATGTTCATTGTACAAAATATCGCTTATCATTTTTGGTACATAGGTGGTATAGCTATTATATCGGCTACCGCGGTGAGCTGTAATAACATTGTAATGTCAATTTTCCGGAAATTCGAAACAAACAGGACGAGACACGTCTTCTTCTCTGCAGTATCTATGATTATGACGACAAGGGGATGTCCGCAACATTGTTTTCGAAATCGCATAGAAAATAGAAAAAAAAACACTTTTTCTCGTCTCATCGCAGAACGGAGAAAGCGATAAACAATAGTAATTTATTTGAAAACTCTCATATTATATTAATATTGTACGACACGATATACGCCATATACACGGTTGTTGGTATTCACGATTTGAGGTTCGAATTTTCCGAACTGTTTGAGACGTCGGATTTCATCGGCAGCTGTACGTTATTCATCTTAATCCGAATTTCGCTTTGCCTAAAAGTACAAAAAGCGCTAATCTCGGCAATACGCGTTTTCGTTTTCACCCGTTTCGTTTACAATACATTACAACAATAATTTATAGGTACCCATTATAATCATTATCACATGAAAACGCTTTCGTAGACACAGGTTTCAAAATCGTCGCGAATTTCTCTAATCATATTTTGTGTGTGTGTATGTTTAATTACCGCATGATATAATGCTATATTTCATGGTTTCTTCGTTTTGTACTTTTGGAGCGTTTATTATGATGTTGTTCAGTATACTCTATGTAATATTAAAACTATTATTATTATTATTATTATTATTATATTATAAAATATTATGCGACCTTAAGTTGCGTGCAATCGCGTAGGCAACTATGTTGTACATTATATTATTACGTTTTGTTATATATTCCGTGTTTCTTTTTGTACAATAATATTGTTCCGTTTCGTTTATTTTTTTTTTTTGTCAATCGTTTCATCTCGTGCGGTTCGGAAACGTAGGTTTTATAAACCATAATATACTCGTAATAATATATTTCTCGTACATATTGTTTCTAAATATTTTCAATTATTACATTTGTTTGTTACCTCTCCTCGTCCATAGTTATCCACACACACACACACACACACACACACACACACACACACACACACACATACACACGTACACAAAACAACATACACTGGTTTATCAGATAAATACGACATATATATAGGCGCTGATTTAAGCAAAGAGCCACCTACTACAATTTACGAATAGGTATGGGTACTCGTTTGAATGACATGGTTTTATTTCGGACATGATTGGACACAGCCTAAAGCATAAAATGTTATAATGATGATATTTTATGTACCTATTGTTAAAAGTGAAGTCATACTTTAATCGTACATAATAATTAACATACGACAATATTGTATTATTGTCGTCAAACTCGCAAACATCCCCTGTATGAATAATTAGAAGTATTATGGATAATTAATTTTAATCAATTCTGCAGAGAACATAATAATATTGTCATATTAGTACCTCGGTGGTTTCAATTGAATTTCTCACCAATTTCTTTCACTTGTTGTATACAGTTAGACGTGTAGACGTGATTTCGAGCACGGATCACCCCTCGTACCCCTGGCCTCGTAGGCCTTAAGCCCTATACCTACTCGTATGTACCTACTATGTACAATGCCAAAGTGCATACCAGAAACGATGTTTTCTGCAGAAAGGATACATGTCCATAACTTAAATTTATTAATTTAAAAACAATTGTAAAACTTTTTTTTACAAATTAATGAAATTTTCAAGTGATTTACATAAATACAGAGTCGACAATTTTAAATAGTTTACATTAACATTTCATAAGTTGTTTAGTTTTTCATCATTCCTGAAAAAATTAGGAAAAGTGGACCTGTCCCCTTTCTGCAGTTAACGATTCAAGTACCTAACCTGCAAAACTCATGACCTAATAGTATAGTAACATAACATCGTGTGTGTGTATGTTTTGAAAACCGATTAATCGAATTAGAACTTTTGAGTAGTATTCCCAAAAAAGATTTTTCATCGATTTCAGACCACGTACGCGATAGGCCGAGTATATAATATTGTATTATATTAAACACGTAAATATTAAATAAAAAAATAGACATGATAGTATAATAATGTTACGTTATATTATTATGATGTATATTTTGTCCCGATCTTTCTCTCTCGTCGTCCTCTCTTTATCTTTCTCTCTTTAACCATCTATAATATCTATTCACCGTCTATATTTATATTTTATCTCTGTATTTGTGAATAAAATGACTTTGTACATAGTATAGGTTTTGTTTAATTGTTAATTTAATTTTTTTTTTTTAATAAATACGATTTTTAAAAAAAAAATTCAAAAAAAAAAATATCAAGTTCTAGGATAATTTTTCTAGTTGATAATACATTTTATTTCACACGGGACCATAAAATATAATGTTAATTTTCGTTTTAATTATTTGCCGTCGTCTCACCACCGACGTGTTTATGTTTTCAAACTGCCAATATACATTTTGATTGTAATACTAATATTATTATTAAAAACGGATCGTCGTGAATTCATATTTTTAGGTGATTTTTATCGTTAAATTTTATCATTCAACATAATATTATTGTGTTTTTAAACTGACAATTCTCGCAAGATTTTTTTTTTTTGTTATGTAATGAAAATACAATTATTATTATTATTATTATTATTATTCTCTTTAAACGCTATTTTAACATAATATTATATACATATACTTACATCAGAGTATTACGCATTTAGAAGCGTTATTAAAAAAAAAATCTGTGATAAAATGAAAAACCTGTGTATAATATACCTATCTTAATAATAATTTTGAAAAAAATAAGTGGTGTATTCAATTCCGTCTGATATGATATTTTCCTTGGGATTCCAATTTTTTCCCATCGAACAAAAAAAAAATTGAATTTTTAAATATCCTATACATGTATACTACCTATACCTAGTTATATATATATATATATATACACATAAATAATACATCTCTAACTATCTCTATCACTATATCTAAACACATATTTATATATAAAATATGTGTGTCTGTATATTCTATATATCTCTTTACTTACGCTTGCTGATGTCCCTTCCGTGCTTGTCTAAAACAACACTTTGTCTTTGGCCATTAAAAAAATATATATAATAATATAGGTACATATTATATGAAAAAAAAAAATAATTCAATACAATACAATACCTGTAAACACTAAAATATAATGTAAATTATTAATAATATTGTAATCGAAGTTGCCTTATTACTAACCGTAAGTTTCCGGTTGTAATTTCCTTTTTTTGTTACAAAATAAAAGTTGAAAAAAATTTTAAAAAAACTGTATAAAAAATTTAATTTTAAGTATTTAAAAAAATAGTGTTATCATTATACTTAACAAAAAAAAAAAAAAAAANAGGTGGAACGGGTATATTACTATTTTTTTTCCAATGTGATTCATATATTATTACCTAATTGTTTTAGGGATTTCCTTTTAGAACAAACTATTTTTTTTTTAGATATATTTAAAATGAGTTGTCGAATTTTTTTGTTAAATAATATTTGTTGTTGTTACTTTTTCGACAATCCGTTTTTCTATGCTGTAAAACAAGACGCGCGTAGATTTTATCTTGTAAAAAAAAAAATAAAAATTTACTAAAAAAAAATAAAAATTTCATTTTTTTTTTTCATACGTCGTTTTTCAATAATAATTATAATAATATTATATTATACTACTACATCATTCCATGTACGCGTTATTTGACTATACTTATATAGTTTATGTACATTTTATTTCTGTCATTTTTATTTACCCCTCCCTCAGAAATATACTTAGACGGTATAACATTTAAAATTGTTTATTTAAATTTTTTTTTTGTATTTTTACAAAACTTATGTCGACTTCTAGACGAGTTAATTGTGACATACATTTATTTATGCATATTTACGAACTTATGTGCATCATATTATGTAATACCTTTATAATTATATAATATATGTTATATATATATTAATATTATTATATGTATAATTATATAATTATATTATTATTATTATTATTATTATCATTGTATTTATTATTTTTTATTACTATTAAAATTTATCTGTTTTTATTTGTGTTATAATAAAGAAAAAATATATAAAAAAAAGAAAAGAAAATGATACATTTTAGAAAAAAAACGATTGTTTTCTTAATTTTTTTTTTTGTTTTTTCGATTATCTGTTCATATACTGGTCACCAATCACCATAAAAAATGTCTAATTTTTTTAAGTGCATTTTTCTGATTATTTGGTAGCACAAAGGTAACAAAAATTATTTTCAACTACAGAGGTAAGTTATTACGCATATATGTCGGGCATTTTCGAATCTCAGTGAAATGTTGAACGGTGGACGTGCTTGCTAACAATATTTTTGGGACTTAATTCACCATCGGTAATATATAAAGAATAATATATTATTCGGTAAAAATGGTTGAAAAATCCAATGAATGTTTAGAAAAAAATACATTTGTCCACGTTATTATGTGATTCAAGAATGAGGTCATACAGAACTATTTTTAAACTTTAATTTATAAAATATATTCTATTGTTAGTAATGTATAATTAATATTTAGACACGGAAACGGGTAAAACACAGCAGAAATATTTTGTCGAAATTGTAAGCTAAATTTTATATCAAAAAATAAAATATAAAATGGCTGAAAAAGAATTGCAATTATTATTAGACTTATGTCAATGAAATATTATATTGAAAGCAAATAGTGCCAAAAATTATATTACAAAATTTGAATAAGGCGTTCAGTGACGATAATACAACTTGCACACCGGAGAGTATACTGGCCGAGCGGCGCACTACAGGTTCGTCCTATTATTGCCTATTGGAAAGAATAATATCACTGAAAAATGACATCGATGAATTAATGTGACCGTTTCTAGGATTGTTGTTTCGATCATATTATTATGTACTACCCTCGAACTTAACGTGTCATACACATTGTCAAGACCAATAACAAACAATTGTAGGCCATTGACGTGTATTCCGTTTTTTATAATAATTATTAGCGATGCTCAAGGTACCCGGCAATTATTCGATGGCCGGATACTCGATATCATATTTAAGACGTTTCTCGCCTTTCGTCCCTCACTCGGTACCCAGCCAATTACTACATTTTCAAATCACATCCGGTAACTGGCAAACGCTGATAATCAATACGTAAATATGATGTATGCATAACTGTGATTGATATAACCGGAAATATCTAAAATTCTCGGGCAATCAATTGCCAATTTATTTTGGTACTTATTCGAATAACCGAACCGATTCACAATAGCCAGTTTATCGAACTTTTACATTTGTGTGTGGCCAAGTATAATATGATCATACTCACCTTTTATGAGTTTTATTTTTGTTATTAATTTATTACAGTTGCAAAACTACACAGTCACTCTGAGTGTTTAAAGACTTGATTAATATTATTGAATAACTTCTGAATCAGTAATTGGTAGTCGATAGTGCCCATTTTGTATTTACATTTCTAATCGACCAATACTCGATACCAGGTTAATATTATAAATTCAACTCGGCCAATACTCGATATCAGGTTAATATTAACAAATTTACTCGGCTAGCACTCTGGTTACCTGGTTTATAACAAATTGTCTTCCCGGAACATCTGTAACAATTATTGTACACAGATATTGTCATGATTTGATATCATGTCATTATTATAACGCTATCGTAATCGCATTGTTTCATAGTATAATATATTATAAAGTCAATGCTATGTCACAGAAGTCAAGTGACGCAATGCCATTATTTTAAATATTGCCAGTCACTTCTATAATCAGAATATCCTTTTGCTATCCTTTTGAAGGTATTAAAATTTAAGTCCAACTTAGAATAAATTCATAGACAATGAGAGATATGTGGACGTAGGTGATAAACTGCATTGGGAGTATTGAAACGTGTGTTCAGCGTGATAATTTTCATTTAAGTTAGGACACTAATACAAAATAATATTATGGAAGTATACAATAGTGATGAGTCCATTCGTGAGTCTTGTTTTGTCTCTCCTGTAAAATTTAGTTTTTGTGACTTACCTAACCTAACCTTGAATTTTGTGGTGCGGAATGGTGATCGTAATATTATAGAATATTTTGAGCATGATGATGATGGTAAAGAAATGGGACTTAAAACTGGTTTTTATGAAGTATAGGTATATTTGTTGATGTATATTTAAATTATTATTAATTTCGTAATATCAAAATATTTTTTTACTCTAATATATTATATGTATTTGTGGCTCATGAATTTTAATTATATTTATCATGGGACCCTAAAATTGTTTCCCGCTGGGCCCAAAATTATCTTGATCCGGGCTTGCACATTGCACAAAAATAAATCGGTTTAAAAATCTCGCATAATAATTTTAATTGTGGGATTACAATCCAAAATGTCATATATTTTTTATGCCAATTTTTTTTCAAAATCGAGTGATACGCCTTAATTTATATTGAAAAAAAATTGTGGATAATTAAAAAAAAATATCGATTCTGCTTATACTTTTTATAGGTCAAAACGAGTTTTAAATAGTTACTTTTTTCCAAAATGTACATTGGTATTGGAAAAATAGGTCCAAATATGTTATTGCTATTTTGGTCCAAAAGATGCTATTGCTCATGTTATAAGTAACTTACAGTATACTAACTGATAAGTATAGGATTTAACAAATTTAATTGAAAATGTATTATTGCCATACAGGTAAAATACAGTTTAATTAAAAATAATTATTATTATTTAAAATAAAGGATTTTATGAAACCAGCCCAGATTTTATTTTGAAAAAAAAGACAAAATTGTCTGTAGATTTAAAAATATTTGTTGTGTTGTTTTTGAAATTTTATTGTTTTAAGTTTTGAAAAAAATATCACTGAAATAAGTAGATCATTCTTGCTATGAATTTTTGATGTCAAGACGTGATTTTGGGTGGCACTAGCACGTTTTGGCATAAAAGACTTTATCAAATTATTGCTTAAGATATGATCTTAAAAAAATGTAGCGATGTTTGAGTTGAATGGAAAATGAAAATGTTCGACTTTTTTAAATAATTGTTCTAGTATATATTAATTGTTCTACTATACATTATATCGCGAAACAAAACACGAAAATGGCCTTTCCGAAAAAAAATGAATAGTGGTAGTACCACGTTTTGGATTGTATAACCAAACAATGTATAGCCAAAGTTAGACAAAAATACGAGTATATCTCATTATAATGGACGATCCCAATAGAATTTACAAATTGAATTATTTCCGAGGAGGATATATACTGCAGTCAATGGAGCTGTT